ATATATATATATATATATATAGGCATATATATATATATATATATATATATATATATATATATATATATATATATATATATACTATTAAAGTCTTATTTTCCTTTTAAATCAATATTTTTTATCGATCTTTTTTAAAAACCTGATTTGAAGCTTACTAACCTTCTTTATTTGGGTATTGTTATGTCTTTTTGGCCCTCAGCCAACCACAAACATTGCATTTTGGCCCCAAAATGTATCAATTTAATACCAAGTTATAGGTTTTTTCTACAACTGTGTGTACAAGCCAAGGTTTTTACAGGTCAGTGTCATCACTGTGATGATATTGGACCACCACTTAAATAATATTCGGACAACAGCAGTCGTGGTCAGGAACTGATCAATAACAAATGAGGTAGGGGGAGCCTGATAAACTGTGCAGCAACAGTCTGTAATTGTATCCATAACGTGTATCTGTTTGGTAGGTGTTTCTGAATAAATACTCACTGGGTGCAGGTATAAGGTAGGTGTTTCAAGTAAAATGGCCAATGAATGTAGGTATAAGATTGGTGTTTCTGATGAAATGGCCAGTGGGTGTAGTTTTAAAGTAAGTGTTTCTGATCAAATGGCCAAAAATGTAGGTATAAGATTGCTGTTTCCGATGGAACGACCAATGGGTGCAGTTTTAAAGTAAGTGTTTCTAGCAAAATGACCAATTGGTGCAGTTATAAAGTAAGTGTTTCTGATAAAATGGCCAGTAAATCTAGGTACAAGGTGGTATTTCTGATAAAATGGCCAATAAGTGAAAGTGAAAGTTAGTTAAAATGACCAATGAATGTAAGTAAAAGGTTGGTCTTTCTGGTAAAATGGCCAATATGTGTAAGTATAAGGTGTTTCAGATAAAATGGCCAGTGGGTGTATGTTTAAGATAGGTGTTTCTTAAAAAAATGGGCAATGTGTGCAGGTATAAGTTAGTGTGTTTCTGATAAAATTGCCAATGAATATGAGTATGAGGTTGGTGTTTCTGATAAAATGGCCAGTTCATGCAGTTATAAGTTAAGTGTTTCTGATAAAATGGCCCATGGATGTAGATATAAGGCAGGAGTACCTAATATACTGCCATGTGCAAACTTTTACGCCAATGTCTTACCTGTGACAGCCGCCAAATCGAGGAGCCAGAGGTGTCTGATATTAATTTAGCAGCTGAAGCATTTTGCATAACTAGCCAAGCAAGGCAAGTCTGAAAGAATTAAACTCAATGCTGTCAATGCAGTGTTCATCCAGTGTGCTGTGATGATCTAATAGCTCAGTATTTTTAGCTTGGCACCGAGGCAACTTGGACAAAGACAGCGGAAAAACATTTCTGCTATTTATAAGACTTCATTAAAATGATTCATCACAAAAAATGCATCAACAAGTAACTAAGTTTATTGTCACATTATAGATATTATGGCACCAGTCTTTGTGGATTAGAAGTTTCCCTGTGACAAGAATTATAGCTTGCTAGTTTGCTAGCTGGAAACAGAGAGACACAGAGAGTAAATGTATCATCATTGACACCCTGCTAGGTATGCTGGTGTTAAGGCTAATGAAGCGCTTCCTCCATTAAATGAAAGCACAGCTGAGTGAATGTTATAGAAATGACATGCCAAACAAGCCCTTTACTCAAAAGTTGGGTGATGTTTATGGCTATTCTAAAACAAATGAACCAAAACAATATCTTTGGTTTTATCAGTGCCATAAGGCCAAACAGGCCCTAATAAAGGTCAGTATTTTCATATGATACATTATCAGTCTGTAAGTAAACATTGTATTCAAAGTTGTGTGCCATTCAGAATGCATCACTTAGTCTGAAAATGTCACACAACACAGGAACAAAACACTATTAGCTCTCATTTATTCAGCTTATTAATTAATGCAGGGACAAAAGCACCATTAGCTCTCATTTATTTAGCTTATTAATGAATATGCAGGCTCTCTATTCCTGCCTGCACTGCTATTTTGCAGTCTTAGAGCAGTTTGGTGAATAATTACATTTATACATTTCCCTCTTACCCCAAATGTAGATGTCCAGCCAGGACATGTGTGGGGTGTAAAGTTTGCTTCTTTACTTTCGAAACTGTTAAGTTAACCCTGCTGAAAAAAAACAGCATAGATTAGCATGTATTCCGTTCCATTCTAAGCCGGTCTATGCTGGTCTAAGCTGGTCTAGTGCTGGTTTTATCTGGTCACCCAGCGTGGTCATGCTAGTTGACCAGCATACCAGCATCCAAAACACAACATATTGTTGTTGTTGGAATAAAACCTTGCATGCACTTTTTTTTTATTAAATTCATGATAAATCTAAATCTTTCAACTTCACTTTAAAAAAATAAAAAAAATACAATAAAAATACAAGTGTAAATTTAGGCGTTAGTGTTTGGGACAGACACCTCCCAATAGAAAGCACCCTATAAATGATGAACTTGTATATATTTAGCACTTTCTATTATAATCAACACAGCAGATGGAGATTAGAGTGAAAAACAGCAGAGTATTCCTTTAATCCCGAAGGAAAAACTGCACATGCCGAGGCAGACATTCCATACAATGTATTTACTGTCCACATGCTTTTTTCAGTCAACACTAGCTATTTCTTCAATGGGCAAGCAATGACAGCAGGCTTGCATTTTGCTGTTATAGACCCCACCAGCCAGGGGGGCTTTGTTTGGCAGCTTGTCACTGGGACTTTAACTAACTGCATCTGGCTGACAGAAAAAAAAATCTCCTCTTGAAATCCCCCTTTAAGAGATCATGTGAAAACAGTACAAAATCCAAAAAACAGATTCAGCACTGTTATCCACTCCCTGCAGTTCCCCCTCACTGTAGTGTGGAGAAGGAAGCAGTGAAGGCCGTAACTCTGTGCTTCTGCAGTCGTTTGTGTAACGTGTCAGTATCAGTGTATTTACAGCCTGATTGTGTGGTTTTTATAGCTTGTCAGGTTTTCACCTGGGAAAAGTGGAGATAAATTACCTGTCTGGCCTGTTTCAGTGGCAGGTAAAGATGCCTGGCTGACCGTGTTGTCTTTCTTGTACAACCTGATAATATATTTAATAATTACAGCAAAACAAGTGCAATCAATCATATCTTGTCCAGAGATGTGAAAGCCAATGTTGCCTCATGTCGCCACCTAGAGGCCATTGTAGGATTTATTTATACACCAGCTTGTAATTTACTTCACATAATCGCTGGAATTCTATATTTATTTTCCTTCATTTGTGCATTTTGGTAGTATGTGTATATTATGTATATTAGGCTTATTTGTTATTATATAAATATATTGTCTGCATTTTGCAGTGCTTCCAATGCAATTATTACTACTATTTTTAATACTTATTATCAAAATAATGCAGATTTGACCCATTTTATAACATTTGTAATAATGATAATAATAAGAATAATAATTACTCTAAATTCCTAAATTAAAATGTACATTCTCCTTGAATCGGCTTCGTAATTAGTTTATGATTTCAGTGCTAAACAGGGTTTCCACAAACCATGATAAAGCTGTGTAGCAGCCTGAAGATTGTCTACAAGGTGGAAAGCTATGAGCACTCAAATCACTTTTGTGTACATCACTGAAAGTGAGGAAACCCACACCAGCAGGATCTCACAAATGCATGCACATTGTATAGGAAATAAAAGGTTTTGTTTAACTAGGTCTAAGGTGAACAACTCGACAGACAGCTAACAGGCTACTCCAATAACATTCAGGCTTTACTAAAGGATTGATTGTAAATAATGCACCACTTAAATGTGTGTAATAAGCTTCAAATGCTTCAAAGGTCTGTGTTTAAGTAGTATTAAACCTTGTTTGGGAAATGAATGTACACCACCATTAGCCAAAGTAATATTTAAAATCCCCATAAAAATGCATATTAGCATTATTGTTGTGGTGTTACTCAGGGTCATTATAAAGTGAAGTTTTCTGCAGTACACACTAGCATATAATAATATGCACAGCCCTGACAAGTTCATGAATTTAATAGTTCAAAGCAGCATTAAAGATTTATCTAACATTTCTCAAAGTGAATTTTTTTAATCAGTAAATTATTTTGGAATATTTGGAACAGTAATTGTCAAAATATTCGCTACATTACTCGATTACTAATATAATAGTAATGATGAAAGTGACAACGATAATAATAATAACAAGCAATAATAATAATAATAATAATAATAATCATCATACTACTACTACTACTAATATGATGAAGACCACTTTCTTCTTCTTCTTCTTCTTCTTCTTGTTCTTCTTCTTCCTATTATTATCATTATTATTATTATTATTATTATGGTTCAGCGGGGAACCTTAACTATTAGAGTTAGACCATAGGTTCGAGCCATAAATGTCAAAACTCAGTCAGAAACAAGGATGAAAACCAGCTCTTCAATAATGCTAATTTCTGCTAGCATCCCTACAGGGGTTCTAGTACTATATTAGCAAGCTAACAGTGATTCACATTAACATTTGAAGCTTGCAAAAGACATTTCATATGTGTTATTTGAAGCTTATAACAGACAATAACATATTTGAGCTTATATATATCAGTTTTTCAGTGACTCTTTCAATAAACAGTCCTGAATAGAGCTGCTGCTGCTGTTTTCCGTTCCTAACAACTTTTTTTTCCTCACAAAATTGGCCCTGTTATTAAATCAAAACATGACTGGTTGATTCCTCTGTCACTTAGTGGTTAATCCAATGCATTAAGGCCTATTAAATAAAAATGAATGAAACATTACAGATGTGTAATATTTTGCTTCACAGAAATCATTAGACCTTCTCCGAAGGCCTTGTAGGCCCTGAGGGTCTCAGTTTCTTAGCCTCTGCCTATCTGAGTAGTTGTATAATGATGAAAGCATATCACCTTTTTAACCTTTACACAAGCACCAGCATGTATTCATCCACACTGACTATAAAGATAAGAGCACCACTGCTGGATCCAATCCGAGTCCATAGTTCAGTCATTCTAATAAAACCACAGTGTCTGCTGGCGGGTATGAGTGACATATTCGTCTGGAAAAAATATGTTCCTGTTTCCTCTCCGTTCATTCAGGTGACAATGCAGACAGGTGTGACCACGACCTAAACTGGACCGTAACTGCGTCCGAAAGGGAAACAAAGATGTCATCCTGACTGATGTCCAGCTGTTTTGGGGACAAAACTGAAGAGCTTTGGTCCCGTTCCTTGGTGGGTCTGAGGCTTTAAATGTGTAATGGACGAGATCTGGCGGAGAAGAAAGGCTGAGCTGGGGTCAGTCTCTCTTCTTCCAGCCCTGCTGTTATTTCTCGTCTGCATCAGGCCTTCGTCAGCTAATGATCATGCTCAAGTAAGTCATGCTGAAGTCTTTTATTTAAATTTTAAGGACAAAAAGGAGTACTGAAGAGTTTCTCTTAGAACATTTTTTTCATTCTTTGGTCTTTTGTGCTCTGATAACAAAAGTATTTCCGTTCCAGATGGCTGAAAAGAGCGTCAGCAGCTGTGATCAGAGCCAACGTGAGTACACTCAAACAAATTATGTTTAATTATGCCACATAAAATATACAGACAGCACATACTTTATATAAAATGCATTGATTTATGTGAGACTTCTACCGATTTTTCAAAATATCTGCATAATTCAAATGTAAACAACAGTGATTCAGAGTGGTTTGGTGTGATATGGTTGATTGTAGAGACTCGGATGTCTTTACAGTGGTGGTGATAGGAACCAGGGGTCGCCATGACTACAACACAAATATAGACATGTTATTTACTATGTGAAACCTCCAGTGAACCTACACATGTCTTCTGAGTTTATATATGGAATGTTGATGATGATGGTGAAATGGTGGAAAGTCCCAGTAAAATAACTTGTTTGGGCACTATTTTGCCTCATTCTGCACCATGAATAGATTTGAAGCTATAAGTTTTATACCAAAACCTTCTCAAACGTATCATAAAACAATGTATCAGACATCAGACAGTGTATTCATAACCATTTCATGCAATAGCTTTTGGTCTCACTGTATTTGGATAGTCCAAATATAGGGCTAGGACCAGAGTGAGCTGGGTTTAGGTTTTGGGCTGAGGTTAAGGTGAGGGTTAGGATTAGAGCCAGGATTAGAGTTAAAGAAAATTCTTGTAAATTTAGTAGATATTTAGTTGAATGTAACTTATGTAATGTGAAATAAGTTTCTACAAAGTAAAGTTTTTGTGAGAGAGCTTTTAGAGGTGGACGTCTGGTTCCTATCACCACAACTGTGAACAATTCTGACTCTGTAAGTTTCTCTAGAATGGAGCGTTTCACACCAAACCACCCTGAATTAACTTCTTTTAAAAAAAGGCGAAATTCCCTTTTAGATTCACCATATTTTCAGATTGTAACTCAAACAATACCTTTGGTGCATTTTGAGTGGGTTCTACTGTCTGTTCATGCATCTGTTACAGTCAATCTGATTAATTCTGGTCATTTTAGATGCTTCCAGGCCTCTGTCTGCTCCATACGCTTCTCGGATTGGTACCCACAGTATCACTGTGAGCTGGACGCCTCTGAACTGCACTGATGTGCTCTACATTCCCCAGTGGACTGGACCCAGTCAGGATGGAGTGTGGACAGAAAAAGAGGTGGGATGTGGTCATCTTTGTGCATAGGAGATGCATTTGAATGAATTTGTTTTGGGCTTTAGTAAAACCACACGTATCATACACCCACATAAATAGAGCAGCTGTGAAGGTTAACATTTCTGGGCATATGATCCGGTTGTTCCCTTAAAGGGGAACTCCATCAATTTTTAAAAATTCTGCATAATGAAATGGTTAAGATGTAAACAGAGGCTTAAAGGTATTTTGGCTCAAAATGTAGTTTTAAATTCCTTTCATGGCAAAGGGAAACATGCAGGCCACTGTGAGGTAAAATAGTCCCCAAAGAAAACAAATATTTCAGATTTTTTACTATTTTATCATCATCAACATTCCATATAAAACTCAGAAGACGTGTAGCTTCACTGGTGGTTTTGGATAGTAAATAAAATGGCTATATTTGTTTCTTTAGAAGTTTCTCTAAAGTTAATCATTAACCCTTCAAACCATTCTGAATTACTCTATTTACATCTCACTGAATTATATGCAAATTTGGAAACCTTGGTGGAGTTCCCCTGCCTCGAGACTGTAAGGACAGTAATATCCAGTAACTGCTTTTTAATGCATATGCTAAACAATTTAATTAACAAGACATGATATTCAGCTCTGTTTATTACAAATAACCCTTATTGTTGAGTTGTTGATTGTTTTTGTTGCGTCCACTGTTATATTGCTGCTAAGTTGCAAAGAGCAGTTCTTTTTCTAACCTCTTAATCTTTTAATTTAACCATAATTCAGCCAGTTTGCACTTTAGTCCATGTAGTCACTGGATAATAATAAACTGTAATGTAATAAGCCTGGAACTTTAAGGGGTTAAACAAATGTGTCTTTACTAACATATCATTACTGTCCAAATTTTTGATTTTTCTACATCATTTAAACACAGCTGCTGCCCTTTATACTGTGTGAAACTTTCATGGTGATTAGACCAATAGAAATGCTCCAAAATCACTTTAAATAAAAGCCTTTTTTACATTAAGTTACATTAATAGTTAGGAACATTTTTGCCTTCTCCTATAAAGTTACTATTTTGGAGATACTTGTTTTTCTTTGGACAGCGACGATTTGACAAATAAACTCATACTTGAACTTCCTCTGTAGAACGTCACAGAACCGACATACACAGTGGAGAACCTGCAGCCATTTTCACTGTACAAGTTCAGGACCTGGTCTGTAATATCGGAGACATACGCCTGTTCTCCAGAGAGCCCCCTGTACAAAACCGAGCCGTTTGGAGGTAGGCACTGACATCGTTTACACTTAGACCTGACTGTCAGAACCCTCTTTAACGTGCTACACAGAAAGCCAATCAGATCTCACCATTTTTATTTACAAACACTCCAGTTTTGTGAGTTATGCTAAGCCCCACCCACTTTATCTCCTTGTTGTGATGTCAGCACTCTTTCAGGTGTTTAAACCACCTTTGGGCTGAAAGTACGGCGGCCCAGAAAGTCAAAATTCAACAGTATTTAGGAGGCAAACAAAAGACATGACCACTAAACAACATTAAAGGGCCCATATCATGGAAAACTGAACATGTAAAGGTTCACTCCAGTACATACAGTCCATATACGACTCACTTACTCATTTACCTATGCCTATCCAGCCGACAGCAGTTTAGCTCCACCCACTTACACTGAAGTTACAGGGAGTGTTTCAGCTTGGACTGCTTTTTGAATGAGGCACAATACAGGGCAGCCAATCAGAACAGAGCTCATTTACGTATATCAGTCTTAAGGGCACAGTAAAAAAAAAACAGCCTGTTTAATTCTAAGGGATAAAGAGAGGTTTGAAATTGGTCATGTATAAATAAATAATGACCATTTTCGGTACATAAAACCACACAAATGTTGTAAGTGGAGCTCAAAGAAGAAATGTAATAGAAGAATGTAGGATATGGATTTGGATATTTGGATATGGGTCTTTTAAGGCAGAACACAATAACATTAAGGGAGACAGCAATATTACCATCAGTTAACTGGAGTCGAACTTGTGTGTGCTGTATGGAGCTGCCAGCTAATCTAATAAGCTCAATGTTGTTCTTTAATGTATTCATCTAATATTGTCATGTTCTCCCTTACTGTATTCGTTTTTGTACTTTAATATATTTGGGTTCTGCCTTAAATGGCCGGGACCCACCAGTAGGCCCAGAATTTTATTACACACTTCTATAACCTAAGAATAGCACAGCCAGTTTGCACTGAAGTCCCTGTAGTTACTGAATAATAAACAGGAGTGTGTAATAAGCCTGGGATTTTGAGGGGTCAAAGTTGTTGAGTTGTGCCATAATGTTGTTGTTTCATCTTTAGTGTTATTCCTAAATGCTGTAGTGTTTTGACTCTCTGGGCCACCGTACAAAAGAGTTTCAGTGTGTGATATTAACAGTAGTTTGGAAAAGAAAATGTCAAATTGTTATTTAAGCAAAACCTGCCCTTCATATCGAGGAGGACACTTTGATGAAGCTGAATGTTGAAGATAAATAGTCACAAAGCATCAGTACAGAGCTATTTTATGATAAACCAACTCTTTAGAAAAGATGGTTCTTCAAGGGTTCTTTTCTAAAGACAGTGCTTCTATATAGTATCATGGACACTAAAAGAACCATTTGTATGCTTATTTAGTTGTTTGCATGGTGAAGTAGTTCTTCAGATTGGTGGAGAATCTGTAGTATATGGTTCTATATAGAACCTTTTTGAAAATGGGTGTATGTAGCACCAGGAAGGGCATCACAACTATAGAAGAATGCTTTTTAGTGCTGTATAGAACCCTTTTCAAAATGATTCCATATCACTGTTGTTGGAACAAAACCTTCTATCTCCAAAATGGTAACTTTACAGGAGAAGGAAAAAACCTGCTTTACTTTTAATGTAAGTCAATGGAACCAGACTTTTTTACAAGTCATTTTGGGCCGTTTCTTTTGGTCCATTCATCATAAAATTTACATACAATGTAAAGAGTAACTGGCACTTTAAAATTATGTCAAAAACTAAAAAACAACAAAAATGGAGATACAAGGTTTTGTTCCGACAGCAGCGATATGCAACACGTTCTCCATCAATCTGAAACACCTTTCAAGCATTTATGGTTCTATATAGAGCTCGTGGTTCTGAATACAACCATTCCCTGCACTAAAGAACCCTTGAAGAACCATCTTTTTGAAGACTGTAAATTTCTTGCTTAATTGAAAAATAATACACATAAATTCAAAAGAAAACAAGGTTCTCCAAACTGGCCTGTATGTTTCCTTTAATTAACTGACCTCTCCTCAGTCCCCTCCAGTCCTGTTATTGAGAGAGCGGAAAGTACCTCTGGAGAGAGTGTGGAGGTCAGCTGGTCCGCTCCAGAGAGTCCAGGAGGAATCATTGTGGGTTACAACCTCAATCTCACAGCTCAGGCACACGTCATCACTGTAACCACAGGGGGCGACGTCTTCTGCACCTTGTTCTACCCAACACTGCACAACACCACATACAGGTAGAGAGAACTACGGAATATAGTTATGACCAGCCGGGACGGCTGCAGCCGCACTGCAGACGTTTGAATAATGAGTTTTATTGATTTTCTGATTTTCTTCCATTTGATTATGTGAAGATTTAACCCCTTAACAAGCCACAGGCCTGACGACAGACGCTTTATTACACACTTCTATAGCCTAAGAATAGCTCCATTAGTTTGGATTGGAGTCCCTGTAGTTACTGATTTATAAGCCTTTGTATGAAATAAACCTGGATTGTTAAAGAGTTCATGAGTTTTGACTTGTGTCCAGATTTTCCATAGCTGCTGTGAACCGTGAAGGTCAGGGAGCAGCGGCCAAAGCTTTTGTGACAACACCAGCTCGACTGGGTCAGTACTGTACCACTGTTGCTCATACACATATTACAGATGAATTCTTAACATGAAAATCTTCAAAATTCTACCAGTAAAACAACGAAACGTCATATTTGACCCTCAGAGCAGAGCGGAGGCCACTGGGTTTTTGCGTCCAGGCTGAATTCCCTGAGGAGACGTGAGGAGAAAGCAGATTTTTTCACTGCAGCGGACTGCCTCTCTGACCAACTGATAAAGAGAAACATTACAGGTCTGTCCTTCCTCTTGTTTTAGGTGTGACTGTTGTCTCTCCTGCACAGCGCTCGCTTAGAATCAGTCTGGCCCAAAGAGAATTCGCTCCGTAAGAATTTGGCCCACAGTTAAATCTATTTGAGGGCCCAGAACACAACAATGTTTTAGAAGCAAACAAAAGACATGCAAACTAAACAACATTAAGGACCCAAAACTGAATTTCTGTCGCTTTTTGTAAATAAAACACTTAGTTAAAGTTTCAAAACATGCCCAGTTTACACAGTCCATACATTTACTCATTCACCTGTATTCACAATGCAAAAAATAGTATCTTCATAAGAGAAATCATTGTAAATCTAGTCTAAATATCTAATATGTCTCATTTTGAGGTGGTTGTATGAATATTTTAACATTATTCAACTTCTTTCTAGATGTTTTTACTTGTTTACAATAATTTTATTGAGTAAATTATCTCGCTACATTGGCTGGACTTAAGATCATTTCACTTGCCAGGATATGATTTTTTGCAGTGTAGAGGAATCTCTGAGGTTAAAAAGTCACGTTTCCTGTTCTTTCCAGGGGTGGCTGTATATCAGGCCTCCAATCTGGTCTATTTCTCAGAGGGAAATCAAATTTGGGAAAAAGGGGCAGGGAATCTTACTGACATCTCTGACCTCAGGCTGATCCACTCAGCCCAAGCTGAGGTCACTGCTCTGTCTGTAGACTGGCTCTACAGGAAACTCTACTACATCTCCAACAGCAAGGTATGAAAAGCTACATATCTTGTTTTTCCCCTCTCTCTCTCCCTCTCTCTCCCTCTCTCTCTCTCTCTCTCTCTCTCTCTCTCTCTCTCTCTCTGTATACTCCTGCAGTCTGTTTGTCTCTTTGTTTGTTCGATGCTGACCTCATTAATGTTTATTAAATCCATATTTACTTGTTACCTCTTTAATTAAATGCAGGTCTACATCTGTAAACTGGACGACTGCTCCTCTGCGGTGGACTTTAACCTCTCCTTAGCCAGCACTCCTAAAACACTCACTGCAGATCCATATAATGGGTTAGTGTTATTATTTTATAAACAACCTTGTTTAGAATCACTTCTTTCGATAATATTAAACAAATTTTGTTGCTGATACATGATTGTAATACGATGCTTTTACTCTACTGCACTTAAAACCTTTCTAATAATGAGTAGAAAAAAATAGAGCTGCAGAATATCCAGAATGAAGTTCTAATAGAATGAATATCCAGAATGAAGTTCTAATAGAATGAATATCCAGAATGAAGATCTAATAGAATGAATATCCAGAATGAAGTTCTAATAGAATGAATATCTAGAATGAAGTTCTAATAGAATGAATATCCAGAATGAAGATCTAATAGAATGAATATCCAGAATGAAGATCTAATAGAATGAATATCCAGAATGAAGTTCTAATAGAATGAATATCCAGAATGAAGTTCTAATAGAATGAATATCCAGAATGAAGTTCTAATAGAATGAATATCCAGAATGAAGATCTAATAGAATAAATATCCAGAATGAAGTTCTAATAGAATGAATATCTAGAATGAAGTTCTAATAGAATGAATATCCAGAATGAAGATCTAATAGAATGAATATCCAGAATGAAGATCTAATAGAATGAATATCCAGAATGAAGTTCTAATAGAATGAATATCCAGAATGAAGTTCTAATAGAATTAATATCCAGAACGAAGATCTAATAGAATGAATATCCAGAATGAAGATCTAATAGAATGAATATCCAGAACGAAGATCTAATAGAATGAATATCCAGAATGAAGATCTAATAGAATGAATATCCAGAATGAAGTTCTAATAGAATGAATATCCAGAATGAAGTTCTAATAGAATTAATATCCAGAACGAAGATCTAATAGAATGAATATCCAGAACGAAGATCTAATAGAATTAATATCCAGAATAAAGATCTAATAGAATGAATATCCAGAATGAAGATCTAATAGAATTAATATCCAGAAGGAAGTTCTAATAGAATTAATATCCAGAATAAAGATCTAATAGAATGAATATCCAGAATGAAGTTCTAATAGAATTAATATCCAGAATGAAGTTCTAATAGAACTAATATCCAGAATAAAGATCTAATAGAATGAATATCCAGAATAAAGATCTAATAGAATGAATATCCAGAATGAAGATCTAATAGAATTAATATCCAGAATGAAGTTCTAATAGAATTAATATCCAGAATAAAGATCTAATAGAATGAATATCCAGAATAAAGATCTAATAGAATTAATATCCAGAATGAAGTTCTACTAGAATTAATATCCAGAATAAAGATCTAATAGAATGAATATCCAGAATGAAGTTTTAATAAAATTGATATCCAGAATGAGGTTTTAATAAAATATCCAGAACAAAGTTCTAATAAAATTAACATCTAGAATAAAGTTCTGATAAAATTAATATCCAGAATAGAGTTCTAATAAAATTAATATCTCAAATGAAATTCTAATAAAATGAATATCCAGGATGAAGTTATAATATAAAAAAATATATTACTTAGTAACAATTAATAACACATAATATTATTAACGAGTGACTCCATATTCTTGAGCAGTAAATGATATGATGCTGTGTGAAGTCCAGCAGGTTGTAATACTGGACTCTTGTTTTGTCAGGTGGCTCTTCTTGCTTTTGCAGGATGGAATTCACCGCGTTTCTCTTCCTGAAGATTTCAGCCACACAGGTAACCTCATTCATGTGGTCAAGATGGACTCTGTGAGTGACTTTGTGGTCAGTTACCCCAATAGGAGGCTGGTTTTCTACAACAGAACTGACCGCACACTCTCCGCTGTGTCTCTGGATGGCTCGATGCCCGTCACTCTGTATTCTGAAATTGACCACAATGCCCAGAGTCTGGCCTATGAGGACGGCCTCCTGGTGCTGACAGATGGAAAGAAGGTGTACAAAGAGGTGCGGAAGGGTCAGGTGGCTGTTTTCATTGAGTTATCTATGGACTGTAATATCCTTGAGTCCAGTTACGGAGGCTTTGGAAACCTCTGCTTCTCTGGCCCTTCCTCACAGCCCTGTCCACTGCCCAGGAGACCCAGAGCCCTGCAGGTTCTGTTCGGATCAGATAAAGCCGCCGTCCGCTGGACAAAACCGGAAATAGCAAATGCGTCAAGTAAGTAGTTTAATTAATATTAAATTTCAGCGTGTATCATATTCATATCTGATCACAGTGAGCTCACTATTACCCTATGAGGCCCATCAGTGTGTCCATTTTTGTCCATTTTTGTCTATTTTTGGAATGTCATGTTAATAATGGTTACTTTTTTTCAATAATAATTTACCTAATATAGATTTCAATTTTACAAATTAGACAACTAAATTTGTTTTTACAAAACATTTTAAACTATTAAAAACTATTACATGATAAATAATGTAAAAAGTGTACTAATTATCTAATTACAATAATTTCTTACCAGGATATACGCCCCAATATTCCGTCGCCATTTTTGAAATACAAAGCATTCTAGATATTAATGTTAATGTTAAAATAAGGTTCTTTTGGACATTATTTTAATTAAAATTAAATTCTAGACATTCATTATATTAGAACTTCTTTCTGGATATTAATGTTATTAGAACTTCATTCTAGATATTAATTTTATTAGAAGCTCATCCTAGATGTTAGTTTTATTAGAATTGTATTTGGATATTAATTTTATTTACACTTCATTCTGGATATTAATTTTATAAGAAATTCTTTCTGGGTATTAGTTTTATTAGAATTTCATCCTGGATATTAACTTTCTTAGAACTTTATTCTGGATACTAAATTTATTACAACTTAATTCTGGATTTTTTTTTATTTAATTTTGGAAATTAATTTTAATAGAATTTCATCCAGAACTTCATTCTTGATATTATTTTTTGTATAATTTTAGAAATTAATTTTAGTAGAATTTCATTCAGAACGTCATTCTGGACATTAATTTTATTAGAACGTCTTTCTTGATATTTTACAGGTTTTCTCTGTATAACCATTTCAAATATATCTGCAATCAAACTCATTTTGTTTTTGAAAACATTGATTTCAATCTTGAAAGGCATGTTTGAAATTTTGCCCATCATGTGTTCACATATATAATTGTAACACAAAAACAATTTTTTGTGAAATAATTAAATAAATTAATAAATGTGAAAGTTTAGTCTTTCATTGCGCTGGTGCAGTGTGAACCCCATGGGGCTCTAAAGGTATTAGAACCCTTGTCAGCCGTGAGTGATGTATTTACTGGCCTGTGGCGTTATTTGTCCACTCTCAGGCCCGTCGGCTTGGCAAAACTGGACGTACTCTGTGAGGTGGTCAGTAAATGGATCAGTGTTTAAGGACATCACCAACATCACAGCCACACACACCACAGTTCCAGATCTGCAGAGCAATCAGAGTTATTTCATCACTGTATGGGCCAGTTCTCCAGGGGGTCACTCACACTCTGTGGGGTTTGAGGGGACCACTCTTCAGCCAGGTGACGTGGAGAAGTCAATCCCTTTAAACTATTCAACTATTGAGAAAATAATTCAGTGGAAAATCAAATTCACTCCAGATGTAGTCATTAAATCTAGAATATCTAGAATCTAGAATAAAATAGAAGTTCTATGAATAATAAAAATAATAAAGGAATAGTTCAGAAAATAAACGTACAGTTTTCTTTGTCTTGCCCCAAATGTAGTCGATCAGTCGAAACATGTTTGGTGTCTGAAATTTGCTTCTTTAGTTTTACTCTGGAGCTCCGAGGCTAATGTAGCTAACAGGTAACAGAAACACTAAAGACGCACATTTCAGACACCAAACATGTTTCGACTGATGACGATATTTGAGGTAAGAGGAAGAAAACTGTACATTCAATTTCTGACCAATTCCTTTAATCACTGATCATTTTTATTATTCATAGAACTTCATTCTAGATATTCATTTACTCACTCGTTAATAATATCGCTTGTTATTAATTGTTACTAAGTAATATATTTTCTACATTATTTTTTTAGAATTTTATTCTGGATATTAATTTTATAAGAACTTCATTCTTCATTCTAGATATTAATTTCATTAGAACTTTGTTCTAGATATTAATTGTATTGAAACTTCATTCTGGATATTAATTTTATTAGAACTTCATTCTAGATATTAATTTTATTAGAACTTCATTCTAGATATTAATTTTATTTGAACTTTGTTCTAGATATTAATTTATTGGAACTTCATTGTGGATATTAATTTTATTAGAACTTCATTCTAGATATTAATTTTATTAGAACTTTGTTCTAGATATTAATTTATTGGAACTTCATTTTGGATATTAATTTTATTAGAACTTCATTCTAGATATAAATTTTATTTGAACTTTGTTCTAGGTATTAATTTATTGGAACTTCATTTTGGATATTAATTTTATTAGAACTTCATTCTGAAAATTTATTTTATTGGAACTTCATCTTGGATGTTAATTTTATAAGAACTTTGTTCTAGATATTAATTTATTGGAACTTCATTCTGAATATTAATTTTATTAGAACTTTGTTCTAGATATTTATTGAAACTTCATTTTGGATATTAATTTTATTAGAAGTTAATTTTTATATTCATTTTATTGTAACATCATTATGGAGATTTAATTTTTTTTCTGAACTCTTATTTAAGTGCTGTCTTATTATTCACATATTTCCCATAAAACCAATTAATCTAAACTGTCCTTTTTGCCAACAGTGGACGATGCTCCGTTCATAGCCGCAGCCTCTGATAAAGGCCTTTCGAGGCAAGAGATGGACAGTTTCAGCTTCCTTCAGTCTCTGGCTTCTACTGTGAAAGACGTGAAAGGTATTTTTAACTGTGAAGTGAATCTATTTGAAACAATTCCACTCAATGCAGGTCTTTAAAGCTGCACTATGTAAGATTTTTTATGTTAAAACAAAGTTTTAGTATCATTACGGAGTGAGGAGAATAAAAACAGGCAAAAATATGGTGAGTGTGTGCTGCGGCGAGTCGCCCTGTAAAGCCTGAAATAATCATTTAAAAGTCAGAGGCATCAGTTTGGCAGATTTTCACACCACATCATATGTCTTTCCATATTAACGTCACACACAGACTCAAAAAGAAGGTCCAACTCGATGTTTTGGTAGATAATTCACTCACATCCTCAGAAGACGTGTCCCTCACCAAGTTTTGACTGAGTTCTCTTTGGGTTGTCTTTCAATCATCAGATTCATCCACTTGGAGAAGAAGTCCGAAGCACAATTCACATTATATAATGTTCTTCCACACATCATATGCAGTTACACATTTCCACCAGAGAGGTCTCCAAATCCCCAAAAACATACTGCAGCTTTTTAAAAAGGTTCATCTCAAGTAGTTTTTATAAGATTTTTACATTTCGTAATAGACAGAGTATTTTTTTCTGGACAACAAATGAGACAAAACAAATGAGAGAACTCTTTATTGTTATAATCAATTATAATTAAATATAACATTTGAAAACTAATGCTGTTGAATATAATTCCTATTAAGCTGAATTCCTGCATTGACTAAAAGGTCCTGCTTATGACATTTAAGGCTCTTAATGGCTGAGCTCCATTAGTGGTCTGGTCTGTTAAAGTGTTATAGCCTGGCCAGATCGATGCGCTCAGCTGAGGCAGGATTACTGAGAAGTCCTCACTTGGTGGAAGATGAATTTCTTGTACAGCTCCTAAATTCTGGAATAGCACTCCAGAGAAAATTAGGAATGTTCAACAGGTGCCTTTAAGTCCAAAATTTAAACCCTATGTGTTTAGGATGTATAGCATGTGCCTATCATTGTTGTTGTTGTTGTTGTTGTTGTTGTTGTTAATTGCCATCTTCAAATCAATACATGCACAGATGCATTTTTACAGCCCTGCTGTGAAGGTTTAAAATCATTTGAAATGTCCAGTATTAGTAGGTCAAGTAGGTCACATGCAAGTCCAATCGCCTTGACTTACTACCACTAGACTATTCATGTGGTACATTAGAGAGTCTTACTGTACCATCATATACATTTAAAGTCACAGCTCATGAAGTCTTACAGTCTTATGGTCTCATAATCTCATCATTTGCTTTGGTGTTGAGCAGATATGGACTGGTACAATGGCACAATCTACTGGACGGACAGTTCAGGACACATTAGCTGGATGGAGCTGGATGACCTCTCTTCTGGTCCTGAAGTATTTATAGTGCCTCAGACCATGAAGGCTGATGCTGTAGCCTTTGACTGGCTGGGAGAGTATTTATACTGGAGCTGCAACACAAACATGGTATTGGAAATGTTTTGTTTTCTACAGTGAAGCCTGCCACCTCATAGTTATAGTTTAGATCTTCCTCTTTCTGCAGAGGTGGTCAATCAGCCAAGGCATGTTTGGTGTCCAAAATTTGCTTCTGTAATTTTGCACTGGAGCCATGAGTTTAATGTAACTTACAAGTAATGGATGCTAATATCAATCATCATCAATTAGCATTGTGCAAACTGCACGCCTAAATCATCACACACCTGCCTCGAACCTTGTCGAGTTGTTATACTTAGCTCTACTTATAACATTTGTTTGGGTTTATGTGCCAAAAAGAGTCATAATGCTAATTCATAATTTTGCACAACCTCTCTTTCTCCTTTAGAATTAAGCTGGCTATTTTTGCTGCTGTGCCTTTAAGATGATATATGTTAATTATATTTGCTCTGATTGGCTGCCTTATATTGTGGTTTATTCAAAAAGCACTCAAGGCCAAAACACTGCCTATAACTTTAGTGTGCATGGGCAGGGTTAAACTGCTAGGCAGATATATGTAAATGAGTTGAAATCACAGTTTCCAAATATGGACTGCATGAATTGGTGAGTTAATGAAAGTAATGATGCTCACATACCACATCAGACACTTGTATATCATTAAAAAGAGGAAAATCAGTAATCTCTGATAGGCTTGCCTATGTGGTTTCTGACACTGTATGGCATACTGTTATTTATAAACATGCATTAAAATGACCAAAATCGTAGCACTTGAATTGTGCCCATATTTATAGGTGGCTGTATGTCCTACAGTGTCAGAAACCACATAAACAAGTCAGCTGGTGTACAGAAGCTTCCATTACTTGTTTGCTACATTAGCTTGTTGCTCTAGTGCAAAACTAACAAAGTAAACTTCAGACACCAGATATGTTTTGACTGTTCGACTACATTTGGAATGAGAGAAAAAAAGTTATTTTTAACCAAACTATCACTTTTAAATGCTACCACAGTGGGATTACACTGTTAAAAATGAGAGGTCAACTCAACTCAAAATGATACAGTAACTGATTTCATGGCTTTTCTTGAGTTGACTCAACTTGAGGACACCAGAGTTCACACAACTCAGACTTCTTAGTTGAGTCAAAAGTTCTCTTAATTTTTTAGTTCCGCATCTCAGTTAAGTAAATAAAATGACTTGTTTTTTATACTCAGCTTCCCCACCAGCCAGGGTTCTTCCCATCACACAATCCTCTTTAGGAAACTTATGGATGCCTGTTGAAGTGACAGCTTAGCCCACAGCACCACTCAGGAACATATGAAGCAGCTCAGATTTTGTGTCTACAAATGTTTAAAACACTGGAGAAAATATTAGTTGTTTTAACTTTAAAGCATGGCGTCGTCTCATATGGTGCAACTGTCTAATAATTCATTACAACATCAGGAGGTTGTCAGTTTGAATCTCAGCAATGCCACAGCTGTCCATATCCAGAAGCCCAAGAGGAAAATATGCCAGATGGGACCGTGTGATAGAAGGAGCGCCAGCTAGTGGAGAAACTGAGTAAAAAAGGCAAATTCAGTTTTGTTTATCTGACTGAGATGCAGACCTACAAACAGTAGCTGGGAGAATTTTTGACTCAGTTAAGAAATTTGAGTTGGGTGAATTCTGGTGTCCTCAAGTTGAGTCGACTCAAGAAAAGCCATGTAATCTGTTACTATATCATTTTAAGTTGAGCAGAATTCAAAATCTGTCTTACCATGATGTTACAAAATCTTGCCAGATATGCAGAGGAGCTAAGTCTGGCCAGGAGGCTGAAGTATTTCTGATTACAAGCAGGAAATTGAAAGCCTGCTCATAGATTCACCCAATGCTGCCATCTCCTGGAGCACTGAGACCACTGTGGAGGTGTGTAGGCTCGACGGGGAGGGACGAATACTCCTCAGAGAGCTGAGCATCTTCTCTGGAAGAAAGGTGGGAGACAGACAGCATTTACAGATCAACCAATACACATTTATTCTACTCTATTCTACACAAAGTGCATGCACTGAATTAACATACTTTAATGAAACACAAAGGGCAGTTACATGTACATTTTCTCATCACAGATTGCTGGAGTCACTGCAGATTTAACTGAGAGGGTTCTGTACTGGCTGGAACAGGACGGCTCATTCTTACACCTTTGCAGAGCAGACATCAGCAGTGAGGGGTAAACACCTGTCAGAAGTAGTGTTTGGAGTTTTCCCCTTAACCCAAATGAAGTTGATCTGCCAAGACTGGTTTGGTATCTAAAGTTTGCTTCTTTAGTTTTGCGCTGGTCCTACAATTACGGCCAATGTAGCTAACGTGATGAAAGCTAATCTCCCACCAGTCTGCATGGTGCTAAAAAAGTACACCAGATAACTAAAAACAGTGGTTGCCACAACTCAACGTGGTTTGAAGTGAATGTGTGATGATATCAGTTTCAGTTCACTTGTATCTGAATAGTATTTTTAACATGAGCTGTCATCACCAAGTACCACAGTGGAAATCACTAGCCACGTTTACATGTAGCCTAATAATCTGTTAATAATCCGACTAATAGCTCAATCAGAATAGAATGGATACACCTACGGAATAGTCGAGTCCGATTGAGGCCATTCGGAATACAGTTTCTATCCGATTTAACGAGGTGGGTAATCCTGTAAATAATCCATTAAATAGAATAATATCCGTGTAAACGCCTGTATCCGATTACATTCCCTATCAGAAAGTTTAAGTCTGTTCTGATCATGTTCGTCACGTCATAGTGAAAGTTTATACCGTTCAACATGGCGGAGCAGAAACTGGTCTGCAGAGGAGACGAAGTTTGTGCTCTGGTCTTTAACAGACGGCGGTGGGACGGACGTCCAGCTTATGTGTCTCAGAACACGACGTCTTCCTCTCGGCCTTCTTTAATAAGGACATGTGCAGGACGTTTTCCTGAGTCTGACATACAAGCGCACCAACTAAAAACTCATCTAACTCTGACTGGACCGCACATGAGTTTCGCTGTCATGGTAACATTTACTCTAAGTGGTTCTCCACACATGCACGTTATTTTGGATCGGATTACTTGTAGTGTGCATGTGAACGAAGATCTTCCGTCAGATTGTTCAATAGAGTGAGCAGATAAACACCTCAGTCTTAATTTGTAATCGGAATGTATTCAATCAGACTGGCAAAAAAGTTTATATGTAAACACAGACAATGAGGGGAACCAAGATTCACCAAGAGAAATGCCGTAAGAACATGAGGAAGAACCACTGAGAAGAATCAAGACTCACAAGGAGAAACTCCCTAAGAACATGAGGAAGAACCACTGAGAGGAATCAAGACTCACAAGGAGAAACTCCCTAAGAACATGAGGAAGAACCACCCAGAGCCAAGAACTCAAGACTGAGCACACAGGAGAAACTCCCGAAAGAACATGAGGAAGAACCACTGAGAAGAATCAAGACTCACATGTTGTCTTAATTTGAAAATGTCTGTTGTCCTTTACATTGTGTGTAAATTTCATGATGAATGGACCTAAAGAAGTGACCCAAAAAAGTCTGGTTCCATTGACTTACATTAATAGTGAAGTATGTTTTTTCCTTCTCCTGTAAAGTTACCATTTTGGAGATACGAGGTTTTGCTCCGACAACAGCGACATGTTTGTGTACAAAATCACGAGCACTAAATTAAAAAAACATGACAGCACCCCCCACACTCCCACCACTGAGAATGTCGCTTAGGGCACCAAAATATTCAGAAACTCCTATGACTTCCTATTTGTAATTATTTAGCCTCAAAGCTCCTGTGCAAAACTAAAGAAACAAACTTCAGACACCAGTCATGTCCCGGTTGGTGGACTTCATTGGGATAAGAGGGGAAATTATGTGATTCACGTCTGAATCTACTGTTCTTCTGCAGATCACAGAACTCCAGACTGACGGTGTATCTGAAATGGAGCTCATCTGAGGTGTTGAATCAGCAGCTGGCCTACTACAGCGAACGGCTCGTGTGGCTGGGGGATGATGGGAAACTGAGAATTCAAGAAGTGAATCAAAACCAGACTGTGCTCATGTCTCCAAACAACACCGTGACAGCTTTCACTCTTCTGCAGCCAACGCTCAAACCCCTTCCAGGTCAGGAATGTTAGTTAAAGGGCCAATAACTTGGAAAATTTCCTCACTTTTGGAAATAAAACAGTTTGATGTGGTGTATAAACACTGCTAAAGCACATATATGGAAACTTAAGCTGCTTTTCCACTGCATGGTACTGGCTCGACTCGACTTCGCCTTTTTTGGTTTTCCACTAGGTAAATCTGGTACCTGGTACTATTTTTGGTACCACCTCCGTTGAGGTTCCAAGCTACAGACTAGTAATTGGTTGGAGAAATTTGCTAAAGACATATGCTAACGTTAACTACCAGGTTAGCGCAGCCTATTGAGTCAACTTTTTTGAGCAACCAGAGTCATGTTGTCGTCTGAACTCTGTTGTAGTTTTTCCCACACTCTCCTGTTTTTTGTCAGCAGTCTCTTGTCTTGCTGCCATCAGCCTCTTCTGAACAAAACTCCTCCCCTTCACATCACGGCAGTTTGATTTGGCGCCACTATGACGACTATACTGAGGGGGTTCTATATCTGCAGTGGAAAACGAAGTAGCTGGAATTAAAAGCGAGTTGAGTCAAGCCGAGTCGAGCCAAGTCAAGCTAAGTCGAGTCAAGCTGGTTCCATGCAGTGGAAAAGTGGCTTAAAACTGCCCATTTTGAATTCATTGTTTCTGTAATATGACAGAAAGCAACATTTACACATATCCGCCTATCCAGCCTACAGAAGTTTAGCCCCGCCCTCTCGCGGTGAAGTTATAAAGAGTGTTTCAGCCCGAACTGCTTTTTGAATTAGGCACAATGCAGGGCAGCCAATTGTAACAGAGCTCATTTACATACATTATTCTTAAAGGCACAGTAACAAAACAGCCTGTTTAATAATAGGGATAAAGAGAGTTTGGAAAATAGTCAAGTAAAAGTACATGGACCTCAGAGGAAGGTAAAAGTGGCCCAAATCTGATCTTTTTCTTCGTATGTGACACAGATGTGGGTCTGTACCAGTGTTAACAACAAAAAACATGCTTTGAGACTCTTTCGTATGAGGTACTGAAATCCGATACTTATCTGATATGCAGCAATGCGACTCAGTCTGAACAGCCAGATCGGAATTCATGCGACTTTTATGTCAGTCCAACTCGACATTTGTCATAATTTTGCGCTGCTGAGTTGCGTAAATATTTAGGCTGATGTTTCTGTACTAAAATTTGAAGAGACTCATCCAAAACCCTCCGTGTTCAAAGAGATTTCGAATGAAACGGTCGAACGCAGGCATAGGAGAACGAAGCTGCAGAACCAAAGAACAGTTAAAAGTCTGAAAACAAAGATTGAAGAATCCGAGGACACAAACCAAAGAAGTGGCCACGCCCTTTTTACGACTTGAACACATTCTGGGTGATGAGCCCAGCTGTCAGTCAGTGAAGCTTCATGATGGCTCCTGTGACACTGGCAAAGATGAAGCTGAACACTCCAGGAGCGGCTGGCGTTTGTTGGCAGTTATGATTGTTTACCTCTGAATGAGCCGTGAAGCTCTGTTCTTCTGCGCATGCGGGTCAGTTTAGGAGCTGATCTGTTCAGACTGATGTCGCATATAGATCACATTTAAAAGAACAGCCAAACAAAAAAATCAGATTTGGTGAAAAAAATCAGATTTGGGCCACTTTTACTTGCTGTGTGAACGCAGCCTAACTGGCATAGTGTGGTGCGTTTACCTGAGCGGGGAACTGAACCTGGTCTGCTGTGTGGAGAGCACTGGTTTCCCTCTACACTACAGCAACATTTATGTTTTAATGACATTCTGCTCGCACAGGTTCAGTTCACACTTCTGATGTTCTTCTGTTTGTTTCAATTCCAAAAGCAGAAACGGATTGAAAGTTTAGAATCTGCACTTTCCACACAGTTTCTGTGCTCGTTCTGATGAATTACTAATCAGAAATACTTCATATAGATGAGAGCAGAATTTTGTTTTTGTTGCTGGTGATAATTGTGAGTGATGTTAGTAAATGTGATGTTTTGATGAGCTCTCTGTGTTCAGGTGGATTTGTGTCTCCTCCTGTGGTGATCCCACCTGCAGTTTTAAAAACATCTATCCGCCTGGAAGGGAACGAATCAGAGTTTACGATCCTGTGGGAGCCCAGCAGCACCGAGTTTGGCACTGTGTTCTACTGTGTCGTCTCTAATGACCTACAGCTGTATAATACACTAACGGCAAATATGAATTTATTTATTTTTATAACACTTAAACTGTAGGTTTATTTTCATATATTAATCTTAAGATTTGTTATTCACTAAGGCCACGTTCACATGACAAGCCTCATTGCTCTAATCCAATTTTCTGGTCAAATCCAATCTCTCCGACACGATGGTTCACACCCGTTTAGGAAACTGATTCAGATCTTGTGAACGACCTGGCGTCCTGAAATGACCCGCATGAGCACGTCCTACTCAGTAACGTTATGTGAGTGAATCACGTGCATCATCAGCAAACAAACTAACGAGCAGAACGAGCTTCGCTGTGAAGATCATTAACTCTGATCAGCTCTCAGCTCTGCCATGGTAACGCTGAATGATGGCACACACGCAGTGAACAAAAAAGCAAATGAATTCCTATCTGAGTGTTCACATTAAGGTCGCATGGCCACGAATCGGATACGTATCCGATCTAGGACCACATATGAAAGGCTATGTTCACATTACCAGGTTGAAGTGGCACAAATCTGCTTATTTGCCTTAATGTGACTCAGATCTGATGTTTTCAGAGCTGTGTGGACACAAATCTGATCTTTTCAAATCCGACCTGAGCCACTTTCATATGTGGTCCTAGATCGGATACGTATCCGATTCGTGGCCATGCGACCTTAATGTAAACACTCAGATCGGAATTCATGTGCTTTTTTTCCACTGCGTGTGTGCCATCATTCAGCGTTACCATGGCAGCAGCACCGAACAGAAGAAAAAAATCGGATTTGAGCAATGAGGCTTGTAATGTAAACATAGTCAAAGTAGCTCAGGTCAAATTTGTAAAGATCAGATTTGATCTAAACAGCTCTAAACATCAGATCTGAGTCACATTAGGGCAAAAAATTGGATTCGTGCCACTTCAACTTGGTAATGTGAACATAGCCTATACACTCTCAATAAGTCTGGAACTACTTGTCATAATAATAAGGATTTTATTGTTTGTTACACAATAACAATGTATAAAGTGTAGATTTAAATGTTATAAATTAGACACTGTATTGTATTTTTAGATGTTTTATTCAGGTATTTAGGGAAAATAACATACTCAATGACAAATAATGCACTGCAATAATCTATTTTACAACAAACTTCCTGAAGATATTATCACATATATATATATATATATATATATATATATATATATCCAATATTCATGGTATTATTTTTATTGTAACTGCATTCAGTATATTAATTAATTACAATTTAATTCTGTAGATTTATTATTGTTAAATAAATGTATTAAATAATCTGAAATCTGTTCTCTCACAGGTTTTGTCTGTGCGGTACTGTCCTCTGTTCAGTACGTTCTCTGAACCCTTCATGCAAGTGAAAAACTTCAAGCCAAATTCCAAAATTTCAATCACAATAACTCCATTTACATACTGGGGTAAAGGTGACTCGACAACACAGCTGCTCCTTACACCTTCTAGAGGTAGGATCTGTGTTATCCTCACATTCTGACAGTGCTGAGAATATTTAAGATACTACACTAAACTGAGTGTCCACTCACTGGCCATTTTATCAGAAACACCTACCATATTAGTTACGTAGTTGACAAAAAACGTTTCTTTTTTACATTTATTGACTTAAAGTTCGACATTTGCAGTCTAGTAATTCAAACCATGCAGCAATGTATTCTTTTTCCAGTATTTTTTGTCAATTTCATAATATTTTCTTACAATGTATGAAATAAACAGCCTAATTTTCTGTTAGTCATGCCATTATAAAATTTGAATTTAAATGCAAAAATCTGAATTTTAATGTTATTATTCTTATTTTTTGAATGTTTTATACCATCTGAAGCTGAATTTTTAACTGAAATTCAATTTAATTTTTAAATAATTTTTTTAAAAAACATGTTGTGTTTTCAGATTTGCTTCAAATATAACATCTGTGCGCCAGATAATAACGCCTGATTTCTAACAGAAATGGAACAGATTGGCTATAGTCAGTAATTGCAAGTGTATCTATATGGTCAGTGTTTCTGATAAAGTGGCCCATGATGTTCTGAATGGACAGTTCTTATACAGCCCTATATGGCAGTGAAACATGATCACTCACATAACGGTTCCCATGGGGAAAATATTAATAACAGTAATAAAATAATATAAATTAAACAGAACATCCTTATCAGTGTGTTATGTGGAAAACTGCATCATACTGGTCAGACATTTGTAGGAAATTACATCATTACTTACAGCAATTTCGTTGCTAAAAGCCAGTCTGATGCAAACAAGCTGTAAAGCAGCAAAAAGCTTTTTTTTCAGGGATTTTCACAGAAATTTATGACTAAAATATTAAAATGTATTTCAGTTTAGTAAAATATTTATTTTGCACCACAGAAGAGGATCATTCTGCCAGAGAAAGTTTAAGTGTCTAATTATTTTGTGATTACTTTGTGAAGAAGGCTCTTACAATATTAGATTAGCTTCATTAAAAGGATCCTTCTAGAATATTTCACAGATAATTTTATACTCTTTAAACAGTGGAATGCTTAAGTGAGCTACGTTGGTGTACCAGAGCAGTGGACACTGTAGGGAGCCCCTAAAGGGCCATGGTTAAAAAAATAAAAAGTTAGTGACATTGCGTTCCCTCGCAAATGTTATGAAACATTATGATGCAAACAGTTTGCATTCGCAAGCAAAAGCTGTGCTTTGCTTAAGCTCAGACTTGGAGCAGCTCATTGAATTTTACATTGAACTTGGATTGAAATATGAAGACATAGTGTCGCTTCTCAGAATCAAACATGATTAGTGAGCGCAAACTGAGTCTGAGATCGAGGGTCCTCGTACAGTAAAAGGCACATTTACAGACACTGCAGAGAACAACTGCTGAATAAACTCAGCACAGACTGGCCAAACTGGGAAAACAGCTTTTAACATCAGCTATACTAAAAACAGAGCTCTAATGTAGGTGATGTCATTGGGCACCTCTAGTCCTACGTTTGCTTGCTGTCTGATATTATATTTTGGGGAATTATTATATTATAGTGAATGCATATATTTTGCAAAGGAACGCTTTTTTGCGAGGGAACGCAAAATATTTGCGAGGGAACGCAATGTCATTAACTAAACACGGCCCCTTAGGGGCTCCGTAACACTGAGCCATTTGCTGAACAATATTTATTTTTTAATGTGGAATTTATTTTGCTATGTACAAAAACAATTCATATGTGTCATACGTGACCATTTTTCATTTTTATTTCATTTTTTGAGATTTTTCATTTTATTCAGTCTGAGCCAAACATTTACACATCAGCCAGGAAGATGCCTGGTATAGTGTGTAGTTATCATCCAGTACCTGGTTTGGCTCATCAGTACTTCATTAAAGTAAATCAGGTGCTGCTTAATAAATCTGTGCGATGGCTGAAGCAACCAGACGTTCTTCTTCAAACTAGTTCATAAAATATCAACTTTTTTTTTTTTTAACTAATAAATTCTTCTTACTTTCTACGGTATGTGTGATTATTTTCATTTATTCTAAGGATATTTGGCATTTTTACTGGCAAAAACACACTTATTTCCAAGATAAACTGCAAATTAAGTGACTATAATCAATTATTCCACAATCTCTATGAAATATTCAGTATCTTCTGTCAGTTACATGGTTTTACAGGTAAAACACACATATGTTTCTGCGCTCATGTGCCAGACTTTTGCACAGTGCTGTATATTGTATTACATCTATAATACTGTCTCTTTAGCAGCATCCTTTGCATATTTCTGAAAACTGTATTCTGTACTGAATATCCATTGCTCATTTCTCAGCAGACACTCCCTTCTGCAGTAAGTGTGCAGATGATCACACTGAGTGCTATCATAAGTGTTCTAGCAGTGCTCATCATCATCGTTGGAGTCATCAGTAAGTCCAGAAACGTGTGGTGCATGACTGAGTAATTTAGTCAAAGTCTCATTTTTGCAATCTGCTTCTCTGTTCTTTGCTAATGAATTAAGTGATTGATTAATTAGCATATGACTGCAAAAACAGAATATCCGAAACTGAATAAAATGTGATAAAACGTGAAAATTAATCTTAAACACATTTCATTTTGAAGTTTATTCTAGACACCGACGAAATAAAGCACCCGAGACAAACAGCCAGACGAGTCTGTACTCTCGGGACAAAGAACTGGAAGATATCAGGGATTTGGTGGGGCTGGGAAACGCCTGCTATGCTATCAGGTAAACAGGAATGTTATAAACGACACTGTAAATTATTGCCAGCATTTCACAACATTTAACAGTCATTTTCATTATTTTTTTTGTGAAAATAACTCATCTTAGGATATTTTCTGTAAAAAAAATTACTGTAAGGTTGATGTTGAGCAGAGGTGGGCAGAGTAGCCTAAATCAATCCTCAAATAAATGTAATAATGCTCGGATAAAATAATAATTTAAGTAAAAGTAAAAGCAGAAACAATGCTTAAAGGTGCAGTGTGTAAGATTTAGCGGCATCTAGTGGTGAGGTGTTGGACTGCAACCATCTGAATGCCCCTCCCTCACCCCTCTCTTTTTTAAGCATGTAGTAGAGCCCACGGTGGCCGTCAGGTTTTCTGCCGTCGTCTGTCCTGATTTAGTTTTGCTTCTTTATGTTTTCACTTCTTTGATGACGAGGATTCACCCTCCCTCGCTTCCTCGAGTGCTAAATAATAAGTCCGATCCTCCATTTGTCAAAATTTGGCTTCTTAAACTTCTCACAACACGAAATAGTCAGCCAGCACCGGCAGCAACCACTGATTCTTTGTCTTTCTGTGTCTTCCAAATGGAGCTACACTGCCAACAAATTAAAGCTGTCACTAAAGCGTAAAAATACGAAAAGCGCCCTCTAGAGGCAAAGCTTGGTTTGTCCACTCTAGGCTGCTGTAGAAACATAGCGGCGCAACACAGCGGCCTCTGTTGGAGGAGGAGCCGCTCCCTCTGTAGATATGAAGGGCTCATTCTAAGCTAACAAAAACACAACGATTCATAGTCGCAGGTGATTATACACTAATAAAAATGTGATTTTGTTTACTATATTCCATTTATACCAATAGACCCCCCCTAAATCTTACACACTGCACCTTTAACTACTGAGTAACTTGTAAAACTGCAGTAGAACTTCTCAGTCCATTCAGCATCTCTCAGCTCAGTAAGTGGAGTTTGTTAGACTCTGTTTGTCTCTTTTCAGGATCCCTTTGGTCTAAAATAAAGTGCTAAAGCTCCGTAGTCAGAGCTGTGACCAATCACAGAGCAGCACAGATGTTCTTACCAATAGAACAGAATGAACTTTGAAAAAACATAAAAAGGAATTAATAACTAAATATGAACAGCTAGAACACTGTCGCCTTACAGCAAGAAGGGCCTGGGTTTGATTCCCCAGCCAGGCAAACAGGGCCCTTTCTGAGTGGAGTTAGAATGTTTTCCCCGTGTCTGAGTGGGTTTCCTCCCACAGGCCACAGACATACAGTCAGGCCAATTGGAGATGCTAAATTGCCCCTAGGTGTGACTGTATATGTGTCTGCCCTGTGATGGACTGTCCAGGGTGTTTCCTGCCTTCTGCCCAATGTGTGTGTGTGTGTGTGTAATGCAACCAATAGCCAGTGATTTACTGTAAGATTACAATGAACTTTTATCATCATTTATCATGTTCATTTCTTTCTCTTTTCTTTGTTTGATCTCCTCTTAGTCTGCTGCCGATGCACCAGGAGCTGGAATCTTTGCCTGTGTTTCCACGCGAGTGTCTGAAGCTGCAGAAGCTGTTGGGCAGCGGAGCTTTTGGGGAGGTTTATGAGGGAGTTACTGTCAGAGACCACAACAGTGACACCGTACCTGAGCAGAGAGTGGCTGTCAAGGTAAAAACCTGCAGGATGAGCTATACATAATTACATAACTTTCCATTTTCAAGAGCAGCTCTGCTTACACACTTGGAAAAAGATGGTTCTTCAAAGGTTCTTTAGAACCATTCGTTCTACATGGTTCTTCAGATTGACAGAGAATGTGTTGTATATGGCTCTATATAGAATGTTTTTTGAAAATGGTACTATGTATGTAGTCTAGACTTATCTGGGTCTAGGAAACTGGCCCTAAGGGTCTGTTTGTGGGCCCACACTTTTTTTGGCCGCACTTTTATCAGCTCCACTTACTATATAGGTGCACTTTGTAGTTCTACAGTTACAGACTGTAGTCCATCTGTTTCTCTGCATACTTTGTTAGCCCCCTTTTACCCTGTTCTTCAGTGGTCAGGACCCCCATGGACCCTCACAGAGCAGGTACTATTTGGGTGGTGGATCATTCTCAGCACTGCCGTAACACTGACGTGGTGGTGGGGTGTTAGTGTGTGTTGCGCTGGTCTGAGTGGATCAGACACAGCAGTGCTGCTGGAGTTTTTAAACACCTCAGTGTCACTGCTGGACTGAGAATAGTCCACCAACCAAAAATATCCAGCCAACAGCGTCCTGTGACCACTGATGAAGGACCAGAGGGTGACCAACACAAACTGTGCAGCAGCAGATGAGCTATCGTCTCTGACTTTACATCTACAAGGTGGACTGACAAGGTAGGAGTGTCTAATAGAGTGGACAGTGAGTGGACACAGTGTTTAAAAACTCCAGCAGCACTGCTGTGTCTGATCCACTCAGACCAGCGCAACACACACTAACACACCACCACCACATCAGTGTTACTGCAGTGCTGAGAATGACCCACCACCTGATAAAATGGACAATAAGTGTAGAAGGAGGTGGTCATAATGTTCTGCCTGATCGGTGTACGGGCTGTATGTAGTGAAGTGTGAACTGTCTGTTTTGAAACGTCAATGAAGTGTAACATCAAGCTCTTTTTTTAGAGTTTAACATTCTCATTCTTGTCAGACGCTGCGCAAAGGTGCCAGCAACCAGGAGAAAATAGAATTTCTGAAAGAGGCTCATTTGATGAGGTAAGAAACTCTTCATCTGTGACTTTAACTGTACACGTCTGTGTGGCTGCATCTTCATTATAAACATGTAAAGGTTTTGTTTTTTTGTGCTCTGCTCTTTGTGTGATTTCAGTCAGTTTAACCACCCAAACATCCTGTGTCTGCTGGGTGTGTGTGTGCGGAACGAGCCTCATTACATCATCCTGGAGCTGATGGAGGGGGGGGACCTGCGCTCGTATCTGAGGGGAGCTCGGCCCACCAACGTGAGTAAAGCTGTTATGAATTATTCAGTAACTACTTTAAATTATTCAGTATCTACTGTACGTTACTCACTATCTATATAAATTATTCACCAACCACTGTTCAATATCCAGTATCTACTATGAATTATTCATTAACCGCTATTAATTATTCAGTATCTACTATGAATATTTGTTATCTACTGTAAATTATTTACCAATAACTATTGATTTTTCAGTAACTACTATAAATAATTCAGCATCTGCTATAAATTATTCACTAATAAATATGAATTATTCTGTACCTACTATGAATAATTCAGTGACTATTATGAATTACTCAGTAACTACTGTAAATTATTCAGTATCTACAACCCCAATTCCAAAAAAGTTGAGACGCTGTGTAAAATGTAAATAAATGTAAATAAAAACAGAACGCAATGATTTGCAAATTTCACAGAGTCATGTTTTATTCACAATAGAACATTGAACACATATCAGATGTTGAAAGTGAGACATTTTACCATTTCATGAAAAAAATTAACTCATTTAGAACTTGATGGCAGCAACGCATCTCAAAAAAGTTGGGACAGGGCCGCGTCTACCACTGTGTATCATCCCCTCTTCTCTTAACAACAGTCTGTAAACGTCTGGGAAGTGAGGAGACCAGTTGCTGGAGTTTTGGGAGAGGAATGTTGTCGCATTCTTGTCTGATGTAGGATTCTGGCTGCTCATCAGTTCTGGGTCTTCTTTACTGGATTTTGCTTTCCATGATGCGCCAAATGTTTTCTATTGGTGAAAGGTCTGGACTGCAGGTCAGTTCAGCACCTGGTCTCTTCTTTCTGCAAAGCCATGCTGTTGTGATGGATGCAGTTGTGGTTTACCATTGTCTTGCTGAAATATTCAAGGCCTTCCCTGAAAGAGACGCTGTCTGGATGGGAGCATATGTTCTAAAACCTCTATATACTGTTCAGCACTGATAGAGCCTTTCCAGATGTGTAAGCTGCCCACACCATAGGCACTAATGCAGCCCCAGACCATCAAATGTGCAGGCTTTTGAAGTGTGCACTGATAACAAGCTGGATGGTCCCTCTCCTCTTGACTCTGCAGCACACGGCGTCCGTGGCTTACAAAAAGAGTTTGATTCATCTGATCACAGAACAGTTTTCCATTTTGCCTCAGTCCATTTTAAATGAGCTTTGGCCCAGAGAAGGCGGCAGCGTTTCCGGATTGTGTTGATGTATGGCTTCTTCTTTGCATTTTTTCTGAAATTGTTCCACACTTTTTAGACACAGTTGTTTGCAGATTGGTGAACCTCTTCCCACCTTTGCTCCTGAATGACTCTGCCTCTCTAAAATGCTCTTTTTATACCCAGTCATGTGAGTTAGGCGCAAATTGCTTCTCCAGCTGTTGTTTTATTAGTAGAACTTACTTTTCCAGCCTTTTGTTGCCCCAGTTGTCCCAATTTTTTGTGATGCATTGCTGCCATCAAGTTCTAAATGAGTTAATTTTTTTCATGAAATGCTGAAAATGTCTCACTTTCACCATCTGATATGTGTTCTATGTTCTATTGTGACTAAAATGTGGGTCTATCAGATTTGCAAATCATTGAATTCTGTTTTTATTTACAGTTATTTACATTTTACACAGCATCACAACTTTCAGTAACTACTGTGAATTATTCAGTATATATACTAAAAATTATTCGCTAATAGCTATTGATTATTCAGTAACTACTATCATTTATTCACTAATAAATATTAATTATTCAGTACCTACTGTGGTTGGTAGCGTGTGGTGTAGTGGGTAACACCTCTGCCTTCTACACTAGACTGGGGTCCAATCACCCACCTGGGCAAACACCCTACACTATACCAATAAGAGTCCTTGGGCAAGACTCCTAACACCTTTGCCAAATACCAGAAATGTAAATGAATAATTCAGTAACTATTATGAAATATTCAATATGTACTACTTTTTAGTGACTACTACTATCATTGAGTATCTACTTTGATTTATCTGGTACTTAATATGAGTTTTTAATGAACTACTATGAATAATTCATATTTATATAGATGAATTATTTGAGTTTTATTGATTTATTTGGTCATAGAATTTATTTGACTTTAAGAAAACAGTTCAACTCTGAATGTTACAGAATCGTGGACAACTTCTGAACCTGACCGGCCTTCTGGACATCAGTTTAGATGTGGCCAAGGGGTGTGTTTATTTGGAGAAGCTCCATTTTGTTCACAGGTATGAATAAGTGCATATTTTTCGTATCCTCGTCGTCATAAGAAGAGCTTTTTTACTCTAATTGAAAATGACAGCTGCTAAATTGTAACAATGCAGGGCTAGGCTGCTTCGTAGGAACCAGAAGCAGGCTTTATTGTGACAAAGACAATGGTTCAAAACACAGTCCAAAAGCAGAGTCGGGGCAGAGCAGAGGGTCAGTGGCCAAAATTTTATACAGCAGAGCCAAGAGTCCAAAAGTTACAGAGAAAAGGCTCAGGATTGCAGTTTAACACTAACAATGCTTTGCAAAGAGTGGAAAGAGAGTGTGAGTGTTTATAGGGGAGCTGATGAATGGCAGTAGAAAACAGGTGTGTGAGAGTGACAGAATTCAGGAGAGGACCTCTGGTGGCCAGTTTGGGAGTTGCATGACACTAAGTAAACTGTGTGAATATCCCCATGGAAATTTTATACAGCAAACTGTTCAAGTTTTGTTGAACCTGGCTTGCCAATCAATCACTCACTAGATTCTCCACAAGGGGGCGCACACCAGTAACTAAAATAACTTCTGTACATTACTCTGCTAGCTTGCTTAGAAGCTACATCGCTACCAACAAGAAAAATAAATGAATTACACCATGGTTCTTCACCAAAGCTTAGAGCTATTATTTACAAATTTTATGTACGTTATGTAATTTACAGCTTAGCATTTAGCAGATTACAGATTAGCAGATTTAGCATCACAAAGCTTGCATAGCTAGCTGACTAACTCACTGGAATCTGTTGTTCTTCAGAGATCTTGCCGCCAGGAACTGCCTGGTTTCAGTGAGAGGATATGCAGATCCCGATCGAGTGGTTAAGATAGGAGACTTCGGTTTGGCGCGTGACGTCTATAAGAGCGATTACTACAGAAAGAGGGGAGAAGGCCTGCTGCCTGTACGCTGGATGCCCCCGGAGAGTCTGACAGACGGCATTTTCAATAAACATTCTGATGTATGGTGAGCACTGACACTGTTTTCCAACCTCAGTAGAAATGAGCTTTGACATTGTCCCTGTTTAAAGCGTTATAATGTGCTTTGCCTGCTTTCTCAGGGCGTTCGGAGTGCTTCTGTGGGAAATCATGACATTAGGGAAGCAGCCGTATCCTGCTTTCTCCAACCAGGAGGTTCTACACCACGTTAACACAGGAGGACGATTACCAGCACCTGCTGAGTGTCCGCAGAGTCTGTACGTACCACTCAGTAGATAGATGAATACTTACAGTAGATACAAATACATTTAAACGTAACAGAAATATGGGACTAGATGCATTTCAGATATTTAACAGCTTCTGACAAATTTATTGAAACCTATCAAGTTTTGGCCTGTCATGATTAGACGATAAAAACGTCTTCTCTGTATCTTCTCTATAAAACGGCAGTGATTATCTGGCAGTTTGCATGTTAATAAATGCATCTTTTAGACACATAGAGTTTTTATATTATTTAAATGGAGTCTTTATAAAGGTTTCCGTGATCTTTTTAACCCTTGTGTGGTGTTGGGGTTTGGGGGACCCGTTTTCAATGTTTACCAAAAGAAAAATGATGTGATTTATTATTATTTCATCCTCAGATTTCTTGGCCTTTGCACTTTTTCTGTGAAGAACATATAAAGTAACCCATTTTCAGTGTCTTCACTCTGCTCACCCCCCACACATTCATATTACACATGTGGTGTTGGGTGAACCTGCGGGGAATAAAAGTGTGGAGGTGCTGTGTCCTTCACTCTGTCCTCCTCCTACATGGCCTGCAGTTAGTGTGTGTGTGTGTGTGTGTGCGTGTGTGTGTGTGTGTGACAGGCTGCTGACTGGCTACAGCTGCTAAATGAGAACCCTACGCTGACAACTTGTGATATTTTAAACATCTGGTATTTTTACATAGATTGTTATGGCTGTATTGATTTAAATAAATAGTAATATGGTGGGTCCACCAGACCACTGAGTAACAAACACACCAACACCACACAAGGGTTAAGGTAAAAAACATGTTCTATAAAGTCATAGTAACACTATAATCTGCAACTTTCCTAACTGTATAACCTACTCTCTCAGGTATAAGGTGATGCTGGAGTGTTGGAGGAAGGAGCCCGGAGAGAGGCCGAGCTTCCGCAGTCTTCATCTGTCTCTGGTTAAGTTGAGAGAGATGGAAACATTAAGTGAGGATGGAAAAACAGGCCATGTAAACGAGGCCTACACAGAAGATGGTGAGATTCCACTAACACTTCAGACTGAAACTAAACCTGAAACAGTCTTCATTTGAACCACTTGAAAATGTCAATATTCACTAATTCACTTCAGGTCCTACATTATTTGGCACTGCGACCATCTAAAACCTTCACTTCAGGTCCTACATTATTTGGCACTGCGACCATCTAAAACCTTAAAAGGAAAGAACCTTACCAGAGTTTGGTCTAGTTAAAGAGTAACTGCTCTTTAGTATTAAAATATACCAGCCTAAACTTTTTTATCGTGGTCAGTTCTGCCTCTGCAGCACCCCCTCTGGTTCCGCTCTGCTATAGGCGCGGATGACATGTCTTGGTACCAAAGTACCAAGTATGCAAATCAGTCAACCAACGTTACCGCCCCCTGATGACGCCCTACTCATGCCGCACTACAAATATGAAAGCATAGGAGTCTATAGTGAGGAGATAACCCCACTCACGCACTCAGCTAAATACCCCCAGCACCACCTCACAAAGTTGTTATGATTAGCACATTTATTGATAACGTTCAACGTAAGATTAGTTAACCTGAAGGATCAATTAAGTGAGGATTCCATAAAGCTGCCGGTAAGTAACATGAACAGCTTGCAAAACGTTAGGATTTAGGGACACGTAAGGATTTAGGGCATGACAGTCACTATTTATTTGGAATTCAGTGCATCTAAGAAATCAGGATGCGGGTTATCCCGAATATGGACCTGCTGAACAGATGATTAGAAGCTACTTGTCACGGTTTTAGGGAATGTTGTACTGTCCGCTCTGTGTGTGTGTGAGGGTGGATAACATGGACAGGCTGCTGACTGGCTACAGCTGCTAAAGGAGAACACTACGCTATTTTAAACATCTGGTATTTTTACATTAATTGTTATGGCTGTATTGATTTAAAAAACAACAATAATGCGGTGGGTCCACCAGACCACTGAGTAACAAACACATCAACACCACACAAGGGTTAAATAAATATTTCAGGCTTTACAGGGCGACTCACAGCAGCGCTATACTTTAGCCTGTTTTTATTCTCCTCACTCAGTAATGACACTTCTTTCAATTTAACACAAAAAATCTTACATAGGGCAGCTTTAAAGTTAACTGGCTAAGCAAGAAACCGTGCTTAGTGAAACAGGCCTCATGACAAATAAGTGCAGGCTTATTAGGTTAACTGCATTTCTCTACGTGTTTTTCTTGCAGAAGAGGAGGAATGTAGAGGTGTGGATGCAGATGAGGGTTTGGGTTCAGGACTGACTCACGTGCTCAGCAACGAGGGCCTGAACTACCTCATGTATCAGGCAGATGGAGGAGAAAACACAACCAGCAGCAGCAGCAGCAGTCCATCAGATCACTCCTCACCTGCAGAAGATAGATGAGAAAAGGACAACGCATATGAAAACTGACTGGATCTGTACTTAATAAATAGTACAGCAACTGATTATTTTGTTTAATAGGTGTTTATACTTGACACTCATCTGAGACTGTGGCCCCATTTGCAGTGGGGCTCTGCACACAGCGCACCACGTCTAACAGCTCTGACAGCACATCGTTAAACTTACCACACTGAGCAAAATTCTGAGACCACTTTATTTTATTTTCTCCTAAGAATTACTCTGTACCTTTATTCCAGCTTCCATTCTTTTCAGGAGACTCACTTTCAGTTCTTCAAAGAATCTGCAGACACACCTCCAAAGTTCAGTCTTAGAAGCTGGTTGATCATTTTCTGAAGTAATCAAACACATTCAGTGGTGTTGAGATCTGGACTCTGGGGTGGTCAGTCCATTGTTCAGCTTCTTTGTTTGATGTGTCCGTCTCCTTTTCTCAGTGAGGTTCTTCTTGACAGCTACACATCCTTTCAGACCCACAGCGCTGAGTCGTCTTCTCACAGTGGAAGGATGGACAGAAACACCTGTGGATGTTTTCAGATCTGAAGCAGCTTGATTTTCTCCTCTCTCTCAGAGATGAAAGCTTTAAGTGCTGTTTATCTGATGGGGTCAGTTTTAGTGTCTACCAGGTCTTCCAGGTGGTTGTTAGGAGGCCCATTTTCTCTGTAGCTCTTAATCATTTTTTTGCACTCCTTTTTTTCACTTCTTTTTTAATTTGACTTTCTCCTACATGGGTAAGTGGATTATATTTTATCTAATCTTGCCAGAAACATGAGGATGAATAACTTGTACTTTAATTTAATAAAAGCGGGGTGGTCTCTGACTTTTGCACATTACTGTATATTTGTAGAGTTTTCTGATGTGTTTTGTATGTTTACTCTCTCTTGTCTCCACAAAACAATAAAAGAATAAAGTAACAATAAAAACTGTAGAAAAAATAAAATGTAAAATACTTTTGCATATCACAGAAATGATCATCTTTGCCTCTGACTTTTTGCTTTCTTTGATGAAATTTTATAATTACAGCCTGACTCAGTGACTCCTAAGTTTAAGTCACTGTTGAGTCACATGTCAGACTCTCCCTAAGAAAAATGAACTTGAAGAGAGCGAGTTAAGAATATTAGTCACTCCAATATGCTAAATACATACTTTTTTATGGTAGACACCCCAAAAAGTGAGTTGAGCATGCTGTACCTCTCAGACGCTCCATACTTGCAAATGTCTTATATAAGGCTTCTGTTTATTTCATACCTTTACTTGAACAAGTCGAAAAGATTAGGTGCTCCCTAAAGCCAGCTAAACATATTAGAGGCTTTCTAAAGTAAGTTGAACATTTTAGACGCTCCATAAAACATGTTAGCATCACAACAGCACTCTAGATTGGTGAATTAGATTTACATTGGTGAAGTTTCAAAGCTTTACACAACGTCAGACGCTCCCTAAAGACAGATAAACATATCAGACAGTACCGAGGGCAAATGTCTGACTGGATACATTGAATATCAGTTTTCATTGCAATAGGCAATGTTAGCTGGGCAACAAGCTGAGTTGAATATGTCAGCTAAGCTGAGTTGAATATGTCAGCTAAGCTGAGTTGAATATGTCAGACGCTCCTTAAGGTCGTTATCTGTTGGTTTTTTTATGTCAGACACTTTCTAAGCCGAGTTGAACATGTTAGACGCTCCCTAAGGTAGTTAATTTTTTTTTATGTCAGACGCTTTCTAAGCTGGATTGAACATGTCAGACGCTCCCTTAAGCTAGTTAATTTTTTTTTTATATCAGACGCTTTCTAAGTCGAGTTAAACATTTCAGACGGTCCCTAAGGTAGTTACATGTTTTTTTTTAATGTCAGACCCTTTCTAAGCCGAAATTGAATATGTCAGACGCTCCTTAAGGTAGTTAAATGTTTTTTTTTGTGTGTGTGTGTGTGTGTGTGCGTGTGTGTGTGTGTGTGTGTGTGTGTGTGTCAGACGTTTTCTAAGCCGAGTTGAACATGTCAGACGCTCCCTAAGGTAATTATCTGTTTTTTTATGTCAGACGCTTTCTAAGCCGAGTTAAATATGTCAGACGCTCCCTAATGTAGTTATTTTCATTATGTCAAACGCTTTCTAAGTTAAATTGAACATGTCAGACGCTCCTTAAGGTAGTAATCTTTTTTTAATGTTAGACGTTTTCTAAGCCGAGTTGAACATGCCAGACACTCCTTAAGGTAGTAATCTGTTTTTTTTTTAATGTAAGACGCTTTCTAAGTTGAGTTGGACATGTCAGACGCTCCTTAAGGTAGTTATCCATCCATCCATCATCTAAACCGCTTATCCTTCTGGGTCGCGGTGGGCTGCTGGAGCCTATCCCAGCTGTCATTGGGCGGAAGGCAGGATTAAGGTAGTTATATGTTTTCTTAATGTCAGACGCTTTCTAAGCCGAGTTGAACATATCAGACACTCCCCAAGGTAGTTATCTGTTGTTTTTATTATGTAAGACGCTTTTTAAGTTGAGTTGGACATGTCAGACGCTCCTTAAGGTAGTTATATGTTTTCTTAATGTAAGACGCTTTCTAAGCTGAGTTTAACATGTCAGACGCTCCCTAATGTGGATATCTGTTGTTTTTTTTATGCCACACGCTTTCTAAGTCGATTTGAACATGTCAGACGCTCCCTAAGGTAGTTATCTGTTGTTTTTTATGTCAGACGCTTTCTAAGCCGAGTTGAACATGTCAGACGCTCCCCAAGGTAGTTATCTGTTGTTTTTTATGTCAGACGCTTTCTAAGTCGAGTTGAACATGTCAGACGCTCCTTAAGGTAGTTATCTGTTGTTTTTTATGTCAGACGCTTTTTAAGTTGAGTTGGACATGTCAGACGCTCCTTAAGGTAGTTATACGTTTTCTTAATGTCAGACGCTTTCTAAGACGAGTTGAACATGTCAGACGCTCCCCAAGGTAGTTATCTGTTGTTTTTTTATGTCAGACACTTTCTAAGCCGAGTTAAACATGTCAGACGCTCCTTAAGGTAGTTATATGTTTTCTTAATGTCAGACGCTTTCTAAGACGAGATGAACATGTCAGACGCTCCCTAAGGTAGTTATCTGTGTTTTTTTCATGTCAGATGCTTTCTAAGACGAGTTGAACGTGACAGACGCTCCCTAAGCGGCCTCTGCGTCACGTGACTCTGGCGAAGGGAGCAGCATGGCGGACACATGCGCGGCTCCTAAACAAACTCCGGCGTTTTTCTGCTCGTAGTTTAACGTCTTGATCTCATTTTTAAACATCTTTAAAGACGCGTGAGTGCATTTGGAAGCTGCGCTGATCATGGACGAGGGGAATAAGCTGCAGTTCCCGTCCCTTCCTGCGTCCAAGGAGGACCAACTGGTAACGTTATCGCTGCAGATCGTACAGCCCTGCGATCCAGATCGGACCCGGGCTACTCTGTAATATCAGCTGGATAATAATGCTGACATGTCAGATTCCGCTAATAATGCCCACCTTTCAAAAGAAAGACGAGGCTGAAGTCGGTTTCCTAGTCGCCAGCCTCTTGTTCGCGTTTTCCCGTTCCACCTTAAATGGTGCAGTGAGTTCTGTATAGAACCACTTCATGCTTAACTGGTTCTTTGCGTGGTGAACTGGTTCTTCAGCTGGGTGGAGGATGTGTTGTGTGTGGTTGTAGGGAAGCTTTTTGAAAATGGATCTGTGTAGCACCAAAAATGTTCTTTTATTGTTTCAGTAACCAATGAACCATTTTCAAAAAAGGTTCTATACAGCACGTTCTCCATCAGTCTGAAGAGCCGTTCCACCCTGCAGAGAACCATTTAAGCATGAAGATAGTGAGTATATATTGGTCTACTGGCTTGATGAGGTTGGCACCCTGCTGACTGTTTGTCATGGCTGGTCCACCATCGGACCACCCAGATCACTGTCCTGCATATGAGCTCTAACTGGTTTTTAATCTCCTCAAACAGAATTTAAATGCACAGGGACTTTTATTTTAGAAAAAAAATGTAGACAAATATTACAAACAACCGAGAGAGCAAAATCATGACTAGGCAAAAAATAAAATGATTTTATATTAAAGATTAAAATGATTTGCTAAACTAATTTACAAAGTATAACTAAAGAAAGGAAGGAAGGAAAGTAAGTAAATTGGGCTGTGAGTGGAAAATAAGCAATAATAAGAGGAATTTTGTCTGTTACTCCATTTAACCACCGGTGGGCCGCCCAGAAATTGCAGGGCTGAACGCCAGAGCACCACCAGCTCTGCCATCAGCAGGCCAGCAGTGGCTCACTACCCTCTTGCTATCAGGGTATATAGAACTCATGGGTCTGTATAGAGACATTTCCTTTACAGAAGAATTCTTGAAGAACCATCTTTTTAAGCATGAAGGAAAACGAGCTGTCCAGAGCCTGGGGGTCTTGAGGACTGATTTTGGGAAGGCCTGGCTTAAAGGAGCACTCTGGAAAAACGTGACCAGTGCTTCATTTAAACATACCAACTCACAACCCTGTGGTCGTATCACAGCAGTCAGAGGCTACGTTCACACAGCAGGTAAAAGTGGCCCAGATCTGATTTTTTTGTTCGGCTGTTCAGATTATCTTTTAAATGTGATCTGTATGCAACATCAGTCTGAACAGATCGTCTCCTAAACTGAGCCGCATGTGCAAACAGAACAGAGCTTCACGGCTCATCCAGAGGTAAACAATCACGACCGCCAACGAACGCCAGTCGCTCCCGGAGGATCAGCTTCATCTTCACCAGCATCACAGGAGCCATCATGAAGCTTCACTGACTGACAGCTGGGCTCATCACCCAGAATGTGTTCGAGCCGTAAAAAGGGCGCGGTCACTTCTTTGCTTTTAACTGTTCTTTGACGCTGCAGCCTCGTTCTCCTGCGGCCGCGTTCTGACATTTCTTTCGAAAACTCTCTTCGAACACGGAGGGTTTTGGACACGTCTTCTCATTTTTAGTACACAAACATCAGCCCAGATGTTTACGAGGTCTCAGCAGTGCGAAATTATGACAAATGTGGAGTTGGATTGACATAAAAGTCGCATGAATTCCGATCTGGCTGTTCAGACTAAGTTGTATTGCTGCATATCGGATATAGATCGGATTTCAGTATCACATATGAAAGCGTCTCAGATTCAGTGTGTTTATCTGTTCACACTGACACACAGACACACATCTGTGTCACATATGAGGAAAAAGATCGGATTTGGGCCACTTTTACCTGCTGGGTTAATGATTTAAAAGACCCTCCTGATGACGTTCCTGAAGGTTGGTGGAACTGTACAGCTCCATTGCTGGCTGCTGCAGAACCAGCAGGTACCCAACATGACTGCTAACTGCTAGGATAACGAACATCACCACTGTGTTTATTAGGCTCTACATTAGAGGTGACACCAGCAGCGAGGACATCTTTATTGAAGGGTTATAAGTGTTGTACACGCTTAAAAAGATGGTTCTTCAAGGGTTCTTTAGTAAAGAGAGCGGTTCTATACAGAACCATGAACACTCAAAGAACTATTTGCACACTTAACTGGTTCACAGCATGGTGAAATGGTTCTTCAGATTGATGGAGAAGGTGTTGTATGTTCTATGTAGAACCTTTTTGGAAAAAAGGGTCCTGTATAGCACCAAAAAGGGTTCTTCTGTTGTTAAATGCTTGACGTTGTAGCAACAGCAGAAGCCTTTTTGGTGCTAATAGAACCCTTTTCAAAAAGGTAGAACCATATACAACACATTCCCCTTCAATCTGAAGAAACACATCACCATGCAAAGAGCCATTTAAGCATGAAAATGGTTCTATATAGAACCACTGTGGTTCTATACAAAACCTTTTTGAAAATGGTTCTGTAGAGCACCAAAAACATTTTTTCTACTGTCAAATGCTTGACATTGTAGCAACAGCAGAACCCTTTTTCGTGCTATATAGAACCCTTTTCAAAAAGCTTTATATAGAACCATATACAACACATTCCCCATCAATCTGAAGAACATCTCGCCATGCAAAGAACCATTTAAGCATGAAAATGGTTCTTTGAGTGTTAATGGTTTTGTATAGAACCACAGTGGTTCTATATAGAACCTTTTTGAAAAGGGTCCTGTATAGCACCAAAAGGGTTCTTCTATTGTTAAATGCTTGATGTTGTAGCAACAGCAGAACCCTTTTCAAAAAGGTAGAACCATATACAACACATTCTCCATCAATAACATCTCACCATGCAAAGAAACATTTAAGCATGAAAATTGTTCTTCGAGTGTTAATGGTTCTATATAGAACCTTTTTAAACGATTCTATATAGCACCAAAAAGGGTTCTTCTGTTGTTAAAAGCTTGACATCATAGCAACAGCAGAACCCTTTTTTGTGCTATAAAGAACCCTTATCAAAAAGGTTCTATATAGAACTATATACAAGACATTCTCCATCAATCTGAAGAACCACTTCACCATGCAAAGAGCCATTTAAGCATGCTAATGGTTCTATATAGAATCGTTGTCTTTACTAAAGAACCGTCTTTTTTAAGAATGTGTTGAGAGAAAATTGATGGATAAAAACAGAAAAAACTGTGAATTCTCTCAGACCGACTGCAGCGCTGTGGTACAGAATACAGCATCACGACAAATAACATATTAACAGTCCATTTCATGGAAAAGCAGTTTTTCTTCCCTTTTTTAATTAAGAGTTTGATGGAATTTGTAAATCTGTTGTTCCCAAACGTGTCATTCACTCCTCAGTCCACTGAGTGCATATATGGAAACTAAACTGCAAAAATAGCCCGTTTCAAATTCGCCGTTTTTGTGCCGTCACAAAAAAAATAACACATTTACACATGTCCGCCCGTTCGGCCTACAGCAGTGTAGCCCCGCCCACTCACGCTGAAGGTATAAGGAGTGTTTCAGCCTGGACTGCTTTGTGAATGAGGCGCCTTACAGGGCAGCCAATCAGAATACAGTTCAAGAAACAAAGGGTGTGTCTCAAAACCTAGTGAGCTCTCGAAGTAGCTGCTGTCTAAGTAGGCAGCGTTCCAATCGTCATCTATCCTTATAAGGCAGATAAATGAGAGGCTCTAGTTAGACAGCAGTGACGTTGCCGCTTGTTCCTGCCCACTGCACGAAGAAATCACAGTTAGCCGACGTGGATCTGCTCTGGTGGTTTATATGGCGATTTTAACTGTATTTGCTCTGAATGAAACAGCAAAATAGACCATAGTTGTGGTCAAACGTGGAAAGTATCGGCTGTTTTTGCACCTTTATGACTAGAAAACAGATAAATACCCCAGAAAATCAGAATAACTTACATTTGAAGATGACGTCGCTGCTTGGCGAAGCGCTTCTGCCCACCATCTTCAAACAAAAGTTGCGCCACGCTGCCTCGCGGGATTGCCTCAGCGGCTGAGGAAACATCTGATGCTCTCTCGATATTGGGCCAAAATGAGACCTCAGTAGGCAGCATATTTGAGATATCTAAGAATTGGGACAGCCTTCTTGTCAGGAGCTCACTAGGTTTTGAGACACACCCAAAGAGAGGTTGGAAAACATGTAGAAATGTAGAATATGGGCCCTTTAAGTGCTAATTTTGGGCTGGATTGTCCCTTTAAATGTTCTCATCTGATCGTCTAAATCAGTCATGTGACTGTCTCTCTGGTCTTTTCTGCTGCAGGACTGGTCGTATCCGATGCGACGAGAGATGCAGGTGAGTGAGTTCACGTTCTGAAGCTCAGCTGGTTCTCGTTGTCTCTGGTTACCAGCTATTTGAGGAGGCGTCTGTGCTGTCTAGTAATACAAATTGTGCAATGCTTGCAGGAAATCCTCCCTGGCCTGTTTTTGGGTCCCTACTCGGCTGCAATGAAGAGCAAGGTAAGATGACCCTCTGCCCCGAGACCTCAGAATCAGGACCAGACTGAGATTTCGTTTTACTGGCTGAGGACGTCACTTACAAGGAATTAGTCTTGGCAGCAGCTCACATTAAGACGGCAATAGCAACAATTAAATGAATTAGATAGTACAATAGATGTGTAACGATACACACACTTTCAGTTTCGATAGGATTTTCAATTCTGAGGTTAAGATTTCAGAATTTTCAGTAGTTTATGTTATCGTCTCTGACTGGAGCTTCAATTCTAATCTATACAGGTTGGTTTGGCTCAGATAAATAAAAACAAATCCTCAAACTTTTTAAATGTGTGCAGTGCTGTCCTCTAACAAAACAAACCCCAGACATGACAATCCCTAAAGTTTATACGTTCTTCAGGAGAAATTCGAGAATGGGTGCATGCATATCATAAGTCCCGCCCCCTTCCCCACCCTTTTTTTCTCTAATAGGCTGCCTAGTTTTGATTATAGACAGTAAAAAGTCAGTAAATACTGTCATATACGTAGTGTTTTGAATGTTTAGTTTTTGATACTCTATCTATGGAATTGCACTTAAGAGTTTTTTGGCATCTTTATGTTTAAGGCTGGCTTTACATGGTGACACTTTCATGCAACTTTTATTGCTTGAAACATACATGAAACTAAATTGCACTTGATTTGTGTGATGTAAAGTGTCCTGCAACTCATTTCTGACTCAGTTGCAACAGTTGCAAGCATCTAACATCCCGTATAAGTAAAAAATAATGCGTGGCCACAACTTAGTAAGGCATGGGAACAAGATCCTAATGCATGGCCTTGACTTAGTAAGCCGTAGGAAAGAGATAATTAAGCCTTGGCCACAGCTTAATAAGGCATGATCTTGTTCCCATACCTTGCTCGTGGCCATGACTCAATTATCTGGTTCCCATGCCTTACTAAGTCATGGCTTCACGATAAGGTCTCATTCCCACCTGTTAATACAGCGTGGCCACGTATTATTTTTATTTGTATGGTGTGTCACCAGCAGGAATCCGTAAAATTGAAACACTGATCAGGTTGATACTTTTAAACTGTTGATTTCACCACTTCAGTGGACAGGAAAATCAAACTGCTTACTGGGTGGTTGCAAAGAACCCCAACCCACTTTTGGTTTTTCATTTTGTTAGTTTCATTTTGTTTTCATTCATTTAGTTATGGAATGTGAGTAGATTCATTTTCTCCTCCCTTGACGCCCCTTAATTTCACACAGAGCTCTGTTTCGTTTGGGAACGAAAGGATGAAATGATTACAGAAGATGGGTGAGACGTCTTTTTAACCGTTTAGCTCTATTCACTCATTCGTTCATCGTGGGCGACCTCTGGCGTTTTGCAGGCATGTTTTTGATATAATGGGAGAAACAGGAAGTGGTCAGACTCCCCTTAAACTGGCTCTGACGTGACCATGTTAAGCAAAGTTGAACTTTATGCAAATTAGGAGCGAAGCGATGTGGCGCTTACCAGTGAGAATTAAACAGTGTGGTACTTGGCCCTTTTTTGGTTCCTAGATATTTGGCTCCACATCTGATTTGTGGTCAAAATGATGCTGTATCTGCTCTGCAGCCACAAGTCCTGTATACTGTCATTGCGTTTGCTTGATGTCAGTAAAACCATGATAAACAGGTCAGCTGGAGTTCAGAAATGCCCACAGCCAAAGAGTGACCAGCGATTTGGGCGACAAGAGGTGAACAGGTTCTGCTGGCAGGGTAAGAGCTGAAAAGTGGCAGCGATGCTTTTAAAAACACTCCGGTCTCCAGCCCAGTCTCACAACAGCGCTCCACTGCACTTTGTAAGAGGAACATGAGGGAAATCTGTCACATGACTCCAAATTTATTATTATTTTCCCCCATAAAAAGGTTTCCAGTGCAGGTTATCACATTTTGGGTATCGATGAACAGTTTTTCCACCAAAGTAGAACAGAAAAAGTTTAAGCGAAGCTCTTAAAATATTACCCTTTCTTCAGAATACAGCATCAAGCGTTAAAAAGCTCTTTGTAAAAATCCCTAGGATGGAAACGTAGTTATTGGGTCTCGTTCACCCACCGTTCTCCAGAAGAAATTTCTTCTTAAAACCCACTTACGCAGCTTTCACGAAGGTTCTGACATTCACCAGTGTTCTCTTATCTGGGATTTGTTCTTAGGTAAGAACAGAATCTACACACTCAAGAGCACAAAGGTGAGAACAGTTCTGCGCTTTAAGAACACATCATGAATCTGACGGAGACTTTTTCTCAGGACCTTTCTCTCCCGAGTGGCGCAGCCATCTGTGTTGGCCGTATCATCAGGGGATCATGAGTTCGATCCCTGGTGATGCTACAGCCGTCCGTGGCCGGGAGTCCTAGAGAGCACAGTTGGCCTCGCTCTCTCTGGGTGGGTAGAATGGCCCCCCGCCTCTCCCCCCATCACCCAACGTGATGCTAGTCAGCACAGGCGTCTGTTAGCTTACGTAACAGATCTGGCGATTGGTTTTCCAGTGAAGTTGCATTAGCGGCAGTTTAAAAAGATGCGGCGGTGCTTCACAGGTCTCGGAGGAAGCCTGTGATTGCCTTTGCGCTCCTAGTGCTGGTGGTATTGTGTGATTGGGAGAGTGGGTGGAATTGAATACGACTAAATTGGGGATAAAATTGGGGGAACCCCCCCCCCAAAAAAGCACATTTAAGAAAAAACTTAGGAAGATTTTGGTGAATGAGGCCCTTAGTTTTGTTCTCTTTTGCATAAAGCACAAAGTTAGAATGGACTAAAATGGACAGGAAGACAGGTCCACTGCTCACCCAACAGGATTGGCGCTGTGATTGGATGGTAATTGGATACGTAACTAAGCTTTACAGAAGAAATGATGCATGTGACTGATTTTTTATTATTATTATTATTTATTTATTTATTTATTTATTTATTTTTTGGGTCCTTTTTTGTCCGTGCTGCTCTACTAAGGACCGGTTATTTCCTGATGATGCCCTAAAATGGTGGGTTTCGTGTAATATTGTCCTTTTTTATGACTGTGTCTTCTGTAGCTGTCTATGCTGGAGAGGCAGGGCATCACTCACATTGTGTGCGTCAGACAAAACATCGAGGCCAACTTCATCAAGCCGAACTTCCCCCTCAAGTTTAGGTATGTATGAGATTTGTGATCACTCAGTGTTTTTATTTGGTCATATTTGTCATATTTGTCCTGTTTAATGTGCTGCTGTTTATGTTTATGCTTGCAGGTACCTTGTTTTAGATATTGCTGATAACCCTGTGGAGAACATAATTAGACATTTCCCAGTGGTGAGTTCACTTTGGGTTCCATATTAGATCAGTTAGCTTGAAGAATGACCACTTAGGCTGCGTTCACACAGCAGGTAAAAGTGGCCCAAATCTGATTTTCTCACCAAATCCGACATCAGTCTGAACAGATCAGCTCCTAAACTGACCCACATGCGCAAAAAACAACACTTCACGCGGCTCATCCTGAGGTAAACAATCATGACTGCCAGCGAACGCCAGTCGCTCCCGGAGGATCAGCTTCATCTTCACCAGCATCACAGGAGCCATCATGAAGCTTCACTGACTGACAGCTGGGCTCATCACCCAGAATGTGTTCGAGCCGTAAAAAGGGCGCGGTCACTTCTTTGGTTAACTGTTCTTCGGCCGCGTTCGGACATTTCTTTAGAAATCTCTTCAAACACTACTGATGAATCTCTTCTGATTTTTTTGGTACAGAAACATCACCCTAAATGTTTGAGTCTCAGCAGTGTGAAATGCTGACAAATGTCGAGTTTGATTGACGTAAAAGTCTCATGAATTCCAATCTGGCTGTTCAGACTGAGTCGCATTGCCACTTATCAGATACGTATCAGATTTCAGTACCACATATGAAAGCGTCTCAAATCGGAATTGAAAATGTCAGATTCAGTGTGTTTATCTGTTCACACTGACCAACAGACACACATCTGTGTCACATATGAGGAAAAAGATCTGATTCTGGCCACTTTTACCTGCTGTGTGAACAAAGCCTTTCTGTATTTTGGTGGTTGCTTTTTTTAATGTCCACTCCTTTCTGTCTTCCTCACCCCAGACTAAAGAATTTATCGATGGGTGTTTAGAGAGTGGAGGTAATCACCTTATAACTGTGATTTGTTGATATCAGGTTTTTTTTTATCTAACTCTCTTCAGCTAAATGTATCTAACTACTTTTTTCATGGTTCCACAGGAAAGGTTCTTGTTCATGGGAATGCAGGGATATCTAGAAGGTATGTGGTGAGCTAGTGAAGTCAAAATATCATAGAGGATATTTCTCAAAGCAGGATCTCAGTAAAGATGCAAAACTTTAGCTGAATGTGAATGTCCCTTAGCTCTGCACTCTTAAAGATGGTTCTTCAAGGGTTCTTTAGTAAAGAAAATAGTTCTCTGTAGAACCATGAACAAGCAAGGGACGCTTTCTATGATTAAAGGGTTCTTTGCATGGTGAAATGGTTCTTCAGATTGGTGGAGAAGGTGTTGTACATGGTTCTGTATAGCACCAAAAAGCGTTTTGTTGTTGTTATGATGTCAGGTTTTTAATAATAAAAGAACCCTTTTTGGTGTTCTAAAGAATCATTTTCAAAAAAGTTCTGTTTAGAACCACATATGACAATTTCACCATGCAAAGAACCATTTAAGCATGCAAATGGTTCTTTGAGTGTTCATGGTTTTACGTAGCACCACTGTCTTTACTAAGGAACTCTTGAAGAACCATCTTTTTTTTTAAGAATGTACAATATTAAGAATGTGCTGTAGATGGTTCCATATAGAACCTTTTTGAAAAGCCAGTGTTTTATTTATTTATTTATGTATTTATTTATTTATTCATTCATTTATTATTTTTTTAAAAGCAATGCCATAGTTTCCTAAAGCAGAGGTTCTCAAGCTGGTCCTCTGAGACCCCTTGATTTGAAAGACACTGTAGATTGAGAGTATGAAGAACCTTTTAAAGGTTTAAAGGGGAATTCCAGTGATTTATCAAAATTTCTGCATAGTTCAGTGTTTAAAATGTAAACAGTCATTCAGAGTGGTTTGGTGTGAAACGCTCTGTTCTAGAGAAACTTGCTAAGTCAGAATCGTTCACAGTGGTGGTGATAGGAACCAGACGTCCACATTTAAAAGCAAACTCACAAAGTTATTAAATGAATGGTTGTTTCAGACACCAGTGTATTCATATTGTTTTATGGTAGTTTTGAGAAGGTTTTAGCCTAAAATGTATTAATGGTGGAGGGATACATGCAGGGTGTCGTGAAGCAAAATAGTCTGCAAAGACTATTTACTTTTCTATTTACAGTTACTTCTGTTTTACCGTCAGCAACTTTCCATATAAACTCAGAAGACTCCTGTGGGTTCACTGGTGGTTCTAGATAGTAAATAAAATGGCAATATTAGTGTTGTAGTCATGGCGACCCCTGGTTCCTATCACCACCACTGTAAAGACATCTGAGTCTCTACAATCAACCATTTCACACCAAACCACTCTGAATGACTCTGAACTATGATTAATTTTTGTTTAAAAATGGGTGGAATTCCCCTTTAAATAACTTTGAAATAACATCAGTGTTTTATAACATTTGTCCTGTAGCCGTTACTTTATGTGAAGTTTCTTTAAACTTTTCAAAAAGGTTCTTCATCCTCATGTCCTTGACAAAATAGTTCTCTACAGAACCATCCACTGAAAGGTTCTTTAGGGAACCAGAAGTGGTTCTTCTGTGACATCAGCCCTGTGGCAGCTTTACTTTTATCAATAACTGCCAGGAAGTTGATAAGTTGATTATTTATTTCTTTATTTATTGATTTATTGATTTGCATGCATGAGTGTTCAGTGCTCCAGTTCATGATCTAAACTCCAGTCCTGGTTTTACTCTCTCTCTTTTTTTTTTCCTTTTCAAAATGCATATCCAGCGTACTTGTTTCAGTTGTCTGATAGATGCTGTTTGTTTTTGTGCAAAATCACTAAGGGTTGTAAGACAACCTGCTGACCACCAGTCTCAAATCTGTGTTTTTCTTCCAGTGCGGCCTTAGTTATTGCTTATCTTATGGAAACATTTGGGGTGAAATACAGGTAACGTTTAAAAAAACAACTTCAAATAAACTTCATAAAGAATATCTTTTTCTAAAACAGGAATTCCACTGTTTTTTGTTTTTTTTGTTTTGTTTTGTTTCCTCAAAATTTGTATTTTTTTCATAATTCAATTGTGCAAAGAGTGATTCAGAGTGGTTTGGTGAGAAATGGTTCAGATGTCTTTACAGTGGTGGTGATAGGAACCAGGGGTCACCATGACTACAACACAAATATAGACATTTTATTTACTAAAACCACCAGTGAACCTACACGAGTTTCTTATATGGAACGTTGATGATGCCAAAAATAGTGGTAATAATAAGTCTCAAAAACCTCTCTGCATGTTCCCCTCCACAGCTTCTCAAAGCTATCATAACAGAGTCTCAGACATTGAATTCCTAACCATTTCATGTTGTAACTTTCTGTGAGGGAGCTTTTAGAGGTGGACGTCTGGTTCCTATCACCACCACTGTGAACAATTCTGACTCTGTTTTTCTAGAACAGAGCGTTTCACACCAAACCACTCTGAATGACTCTGTTTACACCTTAATTTTTAATACCATAATGTAGTTATGCATAAATTTTGAAATATTGGTGGAATTCCCCTTTAATACTGGCTAAACTGAATGCTAAAGTGCTTTAACACTTTTTATCTAACTAGTGCTGAACAATTTGAGCACACTGTATTGTGATATGTAGTGTGCCTTATAATATATCGAGCACATTGGTGAGCCTTTGATAAAGGTGATCGGTCTTTTACAGAACACCTGTAGGTCAGGATGCTCACAAACGTTTATAGTTCAGTCTTAAACATGTTAAATCTTGCCTCTGTTTTTAAGAGCATGCATGTAATTACGTGGTAGGATTAAGGTAGCATTCTGTTTGTACTGTATTATATACTGAGCTGTTTCTGCACAGGGATGCTTTCAGCCACGTTCAGGAGAGAAGATTCTGCATCAATCCAAATGTGGGATTCGTGCATCAGCTACAGGTGAGGGTTTAAAACAGATCACACAGTAAGGTCCAATCTCATTTCTTCATTTTAACCCTACCCCTTGTTTTTGAGTGTCACCCTAGTGGTTGAAATCTTCCCTCTGAAATGGGACCCTCAAATAAAAAGAGCATCACTTCATTAACAGCTACCAGCGCTGCTCTGTAGGCGACCCTGCCAGTCTGCAGTGACAGCAGAGGAGGGTAAAGTTCAGCTCCTCACTGCTGGACTTTAGTTACATTTAGGGCATCATATGCCTTCAAAGAGGGGGGCAATTATTTATTATCACCCACCCCTGATTCTTCAGTGATATGAAGCTGAAGTCAGATATTCACCAGCTTCTTGTTCGAATTTTCCCGTTCCACCTTAAATGGAGCCGCAGTTACATTCTGGCGCTTCAGGCATCAGAACTGCTGGACTATTTAAGGTGGAACGGGAAAGTTAGCTAGCTAGCTACTGAGACATCAGCATGCTATTAGCAATTTTTTATGCTTGTTATGAAGAAAAGGACCAAAATACACTGAAACGACATTAAACTAAGATAATACAGTGGTTATTGTAATTTTTAACAGAGAAAATTCTCACATTTGTGGGTTTCTTTGGTCTCTTGTTCAGCCGTCTCCCTGGTTTTTCTGTTTTTTCTCATATCACTCTGTTTGGAGTCTCTGAGAAACCTTGTAGCCATGTAGCCCCAACACTTCACCCTACCCCTCTACCTCCACAAGAATCAGGACACCCTAACCCTAAACGTGAACATGCCAAACTAAGGGCTCAGTGGTAGGGGAGAGGGGTGAAATGGGATTGGGCCTAAATGAATGTGAACAGAGTTGTGGCCAGGGTGCTGAAGCTCTGCTGTGGTTTGTGTTCAGGAATATGAAGCGATCTACCTTGCCAGGCTAACCATCAAAATGATGTCACCTATTCAGTTGGGTCGGTCCTTCTCCATCCAAGCGGGAATGCCAGGTGAGGACGTGAAATGTTTTCACTAAAAACATTAACTGAAGTGGCTTAGTGGTGTTTAATGGACACATAATTGAGAGAAACTGTAAAACAGTCAGTGTTCCCAGTTTATTAGGTACTCTTGTATCTATGCTGTTTGGTCATTTTATTAGAAACACCTACCGTACAGAGGCATTTTGTAGGTTTACAGTTCCAGACTGTAGCTCCTCTGTTGGGCAGTTTCTCTACCCCCATCCAGTGGGACAGTGGAAAGGGACCACCACTGTCCACATCTCATGTGGGTGGTCGACCTTTCTCAGCACAGCAGTGACACTGAGATAGCAGTGTGCTGTTGACACTTACTGGCCATTTTATTAGGAAGCTTTGTAGCTTCATCTTAGGTCTGAAGGTCACTTTTAATAGCTATAATGCTTTTGTTAAATATACATAGTACATTAAATATACATTCATTACAAATGATATCAGCGTAACAATCTGAGTGAAAAGTAGAATATTTGGTATTTTAACATGAATTTAAGAATTTCTTAGTGTTTGTTGGAGTGTCTTGCTTTTGCTTTAAGGACAGCGTAGACTCGAGCTGCAGCTGGAGCTCCACCAGTTCATGTAAAAGACTCAGATCAGGAAAAAATGACCTTGTTATACAAAGACCTTTAATACGGTCTGTGTTACAAATTGGGAATGGAATGTGTTCTATAGTAAAGAAAATGGTTGTATATAGAACCGTGAACATTAAAAGAACCCTTTCCATGATGAAAGGGTTCTTTGCATCGTGATAGGGTTCTTCAAATTGATGGAGAATGTGCTCTAGATGGCTCTATATAGAACCTCTTTGAAAAGGTAGGTGTTTCTAATAAAGTGGCCAGTTAGTGGAAGCACAAGGTAGGTGTTTCTAATAAAGTGGCCAGTGAGTGGAAGCACAAGGTGGGTGTTTCTAATAAAGTGGCCAGTGAGTGGAAGCACAAGGTGGGTGTTTCCAATAAAGTGGCCAGTTAGTAAAAGTACAAGGTAGCTATTTCTAATAAAGTGGCCAGTTAGTAGAAGTACAAGGTAGCTGTTTCTAATAAAGTGGCCAGTTAGTAAAAGTACAAGGTAGCTGTTTCTAATAAAGTGGCCAGTTAGTAAAAGTACAAGGTGGCTGTTTCTAATAAAGTGGCCAGTTAGTAAAAGTACAAGGTAGCTGTTTCTAATAAAGTGGCCAGTTAGTAAAAGTACAAGGTAGCTGTTTCTAATAAAGTGGCCAGTGAGTAAAAGTACAAGGTAGCTGTTTCTAATAAAGCGGCCAGTGAGTGGAAGCACAAGGTGGGTGTTTCTAATAAAGTGGCCAGTGAGTGGAAGCACAAGGTGGGTGTTTCCAATAAAGTGGCCAGTTAGTAAAAGTACAAGGTAGCTGTTTCTAATAAAGTGGCCAGTTAGTAGAAGTACAAGGTAGCTGTTTCTAATAAAGTGGCCAGTTAGTAAAAGTACAAGGTAGCTGTTTCCAATAAAGTGGCCAGTTAGTAAAAGTACAAGGTAGCTGTGTCTAATAAAGTGGCCAGTTAGTAAAAGTACAAGGTAGCTGTGTCTAATAAAGTGGCCAGTTAGTAAAAGTACAAGGTAGCTGTTTCCAATAAAGTGGCCAGTTAGTAAAAGTACAAGGTAGCTGTTTCCAATAAAGTGGCCAGTTAGTAAAAGTACAAGGTAGCTGTTTCTAATAAAGTGGCCAGTTAGTAAAAGTACAAGGTAGCTGTTTCTAATAAAGTGGCCAGTTAGTAAAAGTACAAGGTAGCTGTTTCTAATAAAGCGGCCAGTGAGTGGAAGTACAAGACAGGTGTTTCTAATAAAGCGGCCAGTGAGTGGAAGTACAAGACAGGTGTTTCTAATAAAGTGGCAAAGGAGGTTGAGCTTCTTAAAACATTTTGTCTGTCGTCCTTACAGGGAGTCTGAAACGAACACTAGAGGAAGATGAAGATTTTGGGAATATGCAAGTACAAACAGCACAGAATGGATAGGCTAGTACAGAGTGCTTAGTTGCCGTGGACTTTTTTGTTTTTGTACATTTTTATGGGGTTTAAAAATGTAAATACTAAAACTTTTGTATAGCGGGTGGGGAGGGAGAAGCTGCTCCTCGAGCTTTAGGGGGGGGGTTTGATAAACGTTTTGGTTTCCTCGTTTTTCAGCCGTATGCACTGATGAGGTTTTTTGCAGTTTTATAGTATTTAACGCATTTTGCATTTGCAGCGGGACAGTATTGCAATAATGCTCTTTTGATACTTGAACTACTATTATTTTTTGCTGGATGTTCGAGTTTGCATAAGGGAAAGTGTCACTGCCGGACTGGGGGGGTAGGAGGAGGGGGGGGTTCTCTTTTGGGAATGGAATAAGATGGGAGGATGCGTCAGTGGGAAAGATTTCAGATAGATAAAGAGAAAAAAATGCTTGTGAGAATTAACAATCTGCTCAATAAAAAAAAGGTGGCTGAATTATTTAGTGGTTTTTGCCTTTATAATCACCTTTAGCTGCATCACTGATGGTCTTCCGCTTCATTTTTTAAAAAATAATTCAACCAAAGAAGGACTTTGTTTTTAAAAAATACTTTATTAACTTTATTTCACCCTTTTCCCCATTGCACATTCAAAGCTCTCATTACTGTACTTCTGTAACAGTTTGATAAAACGGGGCGGCTGCTACAAAATCAGCATAGAAACAGAACTGCAGCAAACTTTACAACCATCCTAAAGCCTCTTATTCTCTCATGTGGTATAAATATATAAAAATAAATGCTTTTGTTGGTCTGTAGTGACGGGTTCTTTGCTTTGAACATACGATATGTGTCCTTGAATCGATAATCTATTTGCCATCACCTGTTATGTCATTTTTGCAAATAAATAATGATTAAATAGAATTATCAGTGGCTAAGACTATACAGCCGAACCAAAAACAAACAGCTAAAATGAAGTTTAATAGGTTTCCAACTGTGAAGAAAAGGAAATATGTAAGGAAACATGCTTCAAACATGCCTGTTTCAGCTGAATAAATCAGAAAACTGTTCTTTGTTCTCCATCAAAGAGTATTTTGGCATTCTCTCCTTTTTTTTCTTACACTTAAAAATATAAATTACCCCATAGAATAGAAAAGACTGTCTCTGTATTAGAAAATATTCAAGTACCTCTTTTTAAACATACTGGAAGTGGCTTCCAGTACGGATGACTAAAGACCAAACGAGTGATCCACAAAGAGGACACGCGTTAATGCAGCTACCCTCTTAGTTACAGCCAAGAAAACAGCAAGGATAACTGGGACTTCAAATCCTGTTGCTCTGCAATCCTTCATTGTGTTTGTTTTTACGGAGCCCTGCTGGTGACATCCTGTATACATAAAAATAATGCATGGCCACAACTTAATTATCTCATTCTCACGCCTTACTAAGTTGTGGCCACAATTTAGTTCTCATTCCCACGCCTTACTAAGTTGGGCCACGATTTAGTAAGGCATAGGAACGAGATCTTAATGCGTGGCCACGACTTGGTAAGGCGTGGGAATAATATAATTAAGACTCGACCACAGCTTAATATGGCATGATCTTGTTCCCACGCCTTACTAAATCGTGGCTGCGACTTCTCATTCCCACACCTTACTAAGTTGTGGCCACACGTTAGGATCTTTTTTTCCTCCACGCCTTACTAAGCTGTGGCCACAACTTCATTATCTCACTCGCATGCCTTACTAAGTTGTGGCCACGACTTACGAAGGCGTAGGAATGAGATCCTAATACGTGGCCACAACTTGGTAAGGAGTGGGAATAAGATAATTACGCCTCAACCACAGCTTAATAAGGCATGATCTTGTTCCTAGCCTTACTAAGTCGTGGCCACACATTAGGATCTTGTTCCCATGTGTTAATACGGCCATGCATTATTTTTATTAATACCGGATGTCGCCAGCAGGGCGTCGTAGGTTTTAGCTCTTTTTTAAAAAGGAATTCCTCCTAATGTTCAAAATCTCATTCAGAGTGGTTTGATGATAAATGCTTCAATTTAGAGAAACACAAGAGCCAGAATTGTTCAGACCTTTAAAGCGTTTAGTCCCAAAACCTCCCTCACAGAAAGGTATCACATTAAATGTTGCTCGATGCCTTAGACGTTGCTTGACGATAGTTTTTAGGTAAAGTTTTTCAAAAAGTCATATTTTAAAAAATACATTTATGCAGAGAACTTTGTGCTGCCTATTATAAGCAAAAATAGTCCCCAAAGAAAATGTATTTTTCAGATTTTTACTATTTTATCATTCCATATAAAACTCAGACACGTGTAAGTTCACTGGTGGTTTTGTTCAGTAAATAAAATGGCTATAAAACAATCACCACTGTAAAAAAAACTGTTGGTAAGTTGTGATGGAAATTTTTCATTTCACATTTTTCAAATGTGAAAAATGTCATTTTGTGACATCAATTTTACGTTTCACATCAACCCACTCTGAATGACTTTGTCTTAACCATATTACTGCAGAAAATTTTGAAAATCTGTGGAATTCCCCTTTAATCACCATCTACCTGCAGTTCTTGGCTGGCCCTTCAGATAAAACGGCTGCAAAGATGGAGGCAGACTGAGCCTCTCTGGGCTCAGACGCTTCTGTAATGTTGCTGAAGGATTCAGTCGAAGAAGCGGCACTGCATGTAGGTCTCATCTGACGCCGTGTAGCCAAACTTCTTATAGAACTCCACGTTTTTCTGTTTGCACTCCAGTGTTATTTTGTAGCACTGCAGTTTTTTGCTAAGCAGAGTCAGTGCAGATACCAGCCTGCAGAGAAGAGCATGAACAGGAGCTTCTGTTAAAATGCACAGTGTGTTCAAATATGACAGTTTTAAAGTGACAGATTAGTGAAAATACACGTTTTCCTCTCTGCTCCAATGTAGTCAATCTGCCAAAACACGTTCAGTGTCTGAAGTTCGCTTCTATAGTTTTGCACTGGAGCTAAAAGGCTAATATTACTAATGATTACTGTATTTTCTTACTACATTTTTTTCAGTATTTTATTTCGGTTTTTGATTTCAGTTCATTAGTTAAGGCTGCATTATTAGTTTGTGTTTATTCTCTGAAAAGCAACAGTTTTTGTTTTTATTTTAGCTTCAGTTTTTGTTTTCATATTATAATGAAAGCTGTGATAGGTATTTGAAAAATACAGGACAAACAGTAGTTATAATAATAACAATAATAATAATAACAGCAGTAATAATAGTTCTAAATGCATACTATATACACTTTACCACACACTATATTCTATCCTATGTACTATACAATATATATACATACAGTTCTAGACATGCACACTAGAATACTACTTAATATATAATACTATTTAATCTTGAATCTTTAATCCTGATAGGCTTCTTGCAGATTAAGGGGGCAGCTGTTTGATTTTTCACTTAATTATCACTTTAGCAGTGATTTTCATCAAATTTAAAGTAACAGGAAACATGATACAATGTATTATTAAACATCCAGCAATGTTTTACTTTAAAAAGATAAATATAAAATATATTCTAAAAATTATGCATGATTGACAGCCTTCAGCCCATCCAGAGAATTCTGGTGTAGGTTTTTCTGACGCCAACATAAAGACCCTGTTTACACCTCATCACGTCACGTTGAGTATCTGGATTGTATCCTGATGAGATTTTAGCCACATGCGTTTACACTTGGTAGTCAAATCACCTGCAGTTTGTTTTGCCCAGTAGTGTCTGTCCCATGATTCTCTTCCTCAGACAATGATCATGCTTCCAGTGATGCACAGCATGGGGAGGGGTTTTGGTTGTAGGGGGAGGGGTTTGGGGTGTACCGGGAGGGGTTTTGTTTGTAGTAGGAGGGGTTTTGGATGCACTGGGAGGGGTTTCAGGTGTACTGGGAGGGGTTTCGGGTATACTAGGAAGGGTTTTGGGTGCACTGGGAGGGGTATTGGTTGTAGTGGGAAGGGTTTCAGGTGTACTGGGAGGGGTTTTGGTTGTAGTGGGAGGGGTTTCGGGTGCACTGGGAGGGGTATTGGTTGTCCTGGGAGGGGTTGTCTAAAGTGTCTTGGAGAGACGGATGTGTTTACGCTGCTATAACGTGGCTCAAATGCGTCTCAGTCCACCTCCTGAAGTTTCAAATGTGTCTTAGGTGCGTTTACACTTGCGTTTTTATGTATCCAGATATAATCCTGATACTCCAGACGTATAAAGTGACCAGGTGTAAATGGGGTCAAAGAGACTGTAGGGGAACATAGTTTTGGTCAAGCTGTATGGCTGGGACAAACCACATCAGGATTCTGATTGGCAAAAGTAGCATTTACTGAGCAGGACCCAAGATTACGACCGTCCAGTTCACACAGACAGAGGAGAATTCTGGTGAAATACATCACTGTTGAGCACTGCAAAGTTATTCACAGGACACACTTGGTACATGTAAATTATGTGCCAACAAGATCAAGACTAACCTACTTCAAAGGAAAGCTTTAAGTTCCCTGGGGCTTTAAAATGTTAATTAGAATGATCTTATATGGGTTTGGACCTCCAGTCATAAGTGACATCTGGTAATACTTACAGTTTTCCCAGCTGTTTCCCTCGGCACACGTCACTAACAACCACCTCCTCGATACGCCCTCGCTGTTCGGAAAGACATGGGTCATACAGAGGCACGTCTGTTTTTCATTTACACAACGTTAAAGCAATAGTTTGGCGAAAAATCAAATGCACACAGTGTCCCGTCTCACCACAGCAGCAGTTGATCAGGCAGGGCATGTTTGGTGCCTGAAGTTTGCTTAAGAGGCTAATGTAGCTAGCAAGTAATGGAAGCTTATGTACACCAATTAGCATGATAAATAATCACACATATGTCAAACCGTGTGGAGCTGTTCAGTATCTCTATTAGACTTGATTATGTGGTTTCTGACACTGTATGACTCACTTTTACTTATAAATATGAGCTAAAGTACATTAGCATAGCTAAAAACAGTAGCAGCAGTCACCCTAAAGCCTGAGTTTTGTCTGATTTGTCCACTTTTTTATATTTGGGATAAGGGAGAAATTGAGTGCATCAGATTTTGTTGACAAACTATCAGAATGATACTGTACCTTTGCACAAGAATGGATGAATTTGTGCTCTATGATAAGCGTTGCTGTGGCAACAATTTGTCCGAGATTTGTGTCCTCCACCACAATGACGTAATAGTCACCTGTCCTCTTCATGTGTTCAAAACTGGCTATGAGGAAATAAGGAGAGGGCTCAGTATCAGTACATTTACTTTCAGTCCACATGAATGAAGCAAAAACAGGTTCGGCAGCTTTACAATGAAAATGAAGATGCCACAGACCGGTTTCCAGGCTGAGACCAAGCCAACCCTTGGAGAATGCACTGAAAACACTTTTGACTGAACTATAAAGCTTAATCTGCGTTATAAAATCTCCTATACCTGTTGCTTTTGCTTTCTCTGCTTATGTCAATACGGCATGGTGGGTATTTTCATGCATTCTTACGGTTAGGAAGCACTTTTACCTTTGAATTGTTCTCTTGTGACGTCTCCTGCCACCGTAAGCTGTGACAAGACCTTGTAGTATCCTGCATTGTGACAGAGAAAAAATTATTATTTTTCATGAAAACTTTTCATTAGACAGCTGAAACTAAAACACATTTATTTTTTGTAATTGCTTTATTACTTCTTGAATTATTACCAAGTGCATCTTTGATTACATTAGTGTAGATGTCCTGCCTAGGGCTGTCACGACCATGAAATCTTAGCTGCTGATTAACTGTCATATTAGTAACTGTGATTAACAGCTTAATAAAGCAATAAGCCACAAGAGGCTGTGGGTCACTGCGATTTTATCACGGGAAGGGTGTTCTTAGGCACAGCACGAAGCGGAACCACGCAACCATGGACGGCAGAATGAGGAGAACGGTCGGTCACCCATTGCTGTATGCTGCGGTGAGTTCATGATTTTTTTTTTTTGTCGTATAATAATGAACATCTGATAACACGGCACTGTTCAATGCAAAAAACTTTCGCTTTGTAAGTACTTGTTGGTCACCAAATTACCACCGCAAGTCTTATTTAGCACCAATCCAGCAGCGCCCTCTTCTCACACTGGGGCTGAATCTCAAATGTCTCCCTGTTCCCTACATAGTTCACTACGTAGGAGTTTAAATACTGGATCCTGCAGCCCAACAGAGCAAAATACAGCTAAGAAATAGTCATTTGGGATTTGGGACACATCCACACTCGATTTTGGGATTTTGTTTGGGATTCAGCCTGGTGTGACTTTTGACTGAAACACGAACATTTGAAGTGTGTAAAACATTCAAGTGACATATTTTAGACTTTTATACTGCAGTTTTACAGTAAATCATACCGTAAGTACTTTTACTCAAGCCTGTGATATTAATGATGGAGGTATTTAGGCTGTTGGCTCTTTTAGCCTGTTAGCTAGCTGACCAGCCTGGTTCTAGTTAAGAACATAAGTTGTCAGCCCCTCAGTTTAAACAAAAACCGGGTTCTTACTTCATCAGTGCACTCGGTGCTCCATGTGAGCAGCATTAGAGTCAAAGATCATTCCATTAACAGCACAAGGGTTTTTTGTGCCGTGGCACAGTGATACACATTGAGTTGTTATGAGGCGGTTGTGGGAGTGATATATCGTGGATTTTAATGGCTTTGAACATGGCTCAGCCAATCAGATTTTAGGACCGGAACTATCCGTTTTATAATTGTCTTTATTGTTCACCGTTATAAAGTAGCCTAAAGTGGCCGACATGGCGTATCAGCTGTCTTGCTTCCTGGCTCTCTTTACTTAGTAGCTAATGCTGGTTCAGTCAAGCAAAGCTACAAGTTTTTCAAAAGGTTTAAAATTTAATATAATACAGTATATATTATGTATTATATATTATATATAATAAAAAGATTTAATATATAAGAAAAAAATCATTCTGTTGCCACACAAGCTTAAAACGTTAGAATTTGCTACATAGCTGTCAATTAAACCTCTAAAGAATGTTCACTGCTTTCTTTTATTTACATTAATTTGCTCTCAGTCCACTCGGCTCACATTCTGCTTGCTGTGCAAATTAACAACTGTGGAAAATCACTGTAGTCAGCCTAAATAACTGCGATCATTTCAAATGATTACAGTTATACACTTATGTAATACCTGTCTTAGGCCAAGTTCTGTCACTATTTCAGCTGGGAACATTACATACATATATATAATACTCATGTGCACATTATTAAAACTCATTAAGGACGACCTTCATTCAAGCACAGCGAACAGTGAACAGTCTGTACCTCTGTCTAAGTCGGCGGGCCTGAGGGGCCGGAGCACCAGGCCCTCCCCAGGCTGTGAGGGGGAGACTGGGGGAGAGAAAGACACCGTGTTACTGCTCCAGTCCAGATCCTGCAGCAGAGAGGGGTCAAACAGCGGGGTTTCGTCCAGCAGCATTCCAGACGCCCTGAGGTGAAACAGGATCACACAGACTGTTTTAACTTACTCAGACACTAAAAAAGTACAATCTAAACAAAATAGGTTCTGTAGAGCACCAAAAATAGATTCTATGATGTAAAATCCATTTAAAAAGTGTTATGCAGAACCATTCTAAGCCTTTTTATGTGGGTTGAAGATCAAGATGTGATTATACATTATGCAAATAATAATACTAGGCTTACTACTACTACTACTCTTTCAAAAAAGAAGGTGCTTCAAGGGTTCTTTAGTAAAGAAAATGGTTCTATATGGAACCATGAACACTCAAAGAACCCTCTGCATGATTAAAAGTTCTCTGCATCATGAAATTGTTCTTCAGGTTGATGGAAAATGTGCATGAATGCGCCATAGACGGATTTATGTAGAACGTTTTTGAAAGTGGTTCTATATAGCACCCAAAAGGGTTCTTCTATTGTTACAAGATTGACACGGTAATAATAGAAGAACCCTTTTGGGTGCTATATAGAACCATTTTCAAAAACGTTCTATATAGAAGCATCTACAGCACATTCTCCATCAGTCTGAAGAACCCTTTCATGATGCAAAGAACCCCTTAATCATGCAAAGAGCTCTTATGAGTGTTCATGGTTCTATATAGAACCATTTTCTTTACTAAAGAACCCTTTTTTTAAGAGTGTACTACTAGTACTACTACTATTGTTAATGATAATGATAATAATAATAATATAATAATAATAATAATAACAGTGCTACATACATACTAGAACCATGTTAAAAAGGTTCTTTAGCTATATACCACAGGTTCTTCACTGTGAAGATTATACATAATAAAAACAACAATAATAATAGTGATATATACTATATATACTATTCTTAAATATTTCTAAAAGGTTCTTTAGTTATATACAACAGGTTCTCAATCATGGAGATTATATGCAAAAATAGCATCATAATCATAAACTTATGAATCATAATTACAACAGCGCACATTAAAAGAACCATTTTATGAACTGCAAAACAATTTAAGTATTCAGGTGGTTCTCTGGGTTGCCAAGGTTCGATATATAACCACTGCCGTTCGTGAAGAACCCTTGAACAACCACTCTGTTAAGAGTACACAGCTCAGTCTGTTCAAGCAGACAAGGTTGGATCTGTTCGGTGGAATCTGATCAGTAAACATTTCTTGATCAAATAATTTCCCCCTCCCTCCCCCACAGTGTCCGACTGCTTACGTCACTCGAATAATCAGACCTTCTGCGTTACAGAAACTGAAATCTGGCTTGACGTTTCTCTGACACGCCCTATCCGGGTGTAAAACCCTACTTAAAAGTCTGTAGCGGCACTGTACTGTAATCAATCAACCATCCAGTTCAAACGCAGCCAGCGTGCTGGGTGTGTTTGGATGGTGGTGCAGTAAGGAAGAAGATAAAGATTTTACTACTTTCTAGAATTATTACATGGTTAATTTGGATGCCAGCAGTTTATTACAGTGAGTAATTCAGCTGGTGTTTGTGTGCCAAAATGTAACACACACTACCAGGAACTTATCTGACCACATCAGTCCTACATTAGGCCCAAATCCAGCGAAGACCCACACTGATCTCATGGAACACATGCTGTAACGTCCAGCGGTAGTAACTTCAATCAACTGGACTTTTGTAAAATCTTTAAGATTTAGACAACTAAACTATTTAATGTTCTGAATATATGAAAACCTTTTTAGACATTTCATTTATTATGAAACGTATCATATAATTACAATATTCATATAATCACATCATTTAACACGACGACAAAGTTATAGACATAACAACTGGTGTATTTACTTTCTGTATACTGTTTAGTGGTCAAGGCTACTGTATATCATAAGTATGGTCTGGTAGTTATAAGTCAAGGCCACCTTAAAGGGGAACTCCACCAGTTTTTCAAAATTTCATTCATCCTTGAGATGTATACTGAGTCATTCAGAGTGGTTTGGTGTGAAATGGTTGATTGTAGAGACTCAGGTGTCTTTACAGTAGTGGTGATAGGAACCAGGCGTCACCATGACTACAACACAAATATAGACATTTTATGTATTATCCAGAACCACCAGTGAACCTACACGTCTTCTTTTTATATGTAATCGATAATGGTAAAATAGTGGAAAATCTGGAAAAATACGTTTTTATTTGGGGACTATTTTGCTTAACAACACCCTGCATGTATCCCTCCACCATGAACAGATTAAAACGAATGGACTGAAATACATTTTAATGGATTTAAATACATTTAAGCCAAACCTTTATATTAAAACTATTTTATTTTATTTTATAAAACAGTGTCTCAGGCAGTGAATTCATAACCATTTCATGTAGTAACTTTCTGTGAGGGAGCTTTTAGAGGTGGACGTCTGGTTTCTATCACCACCACTGTGAACAGTTCTGACTCTGTAAGTTTCTCTAGAACAGAGCGTTTCACACCAAACCACCCTGAATGACTCTGTTTACATCTGAACCATTTAATTACGGAGAATATTTGAAAAACCGGTGAAGTTCCCCTGTAATGTACTCCTAGTACAGTGAGCTGGCTGATCTAATCTCACAGATACGCTCTGTAATATGAGTGTTTAAGACGAGCTGCTCAGGCTGGGTCTTTATAAACTGATGAATGTCCGAACCGAGCAGAGCCGGCAGTTCGTACATCTCTGACCCACAGAACCGCCCGTTTCTCGGCTGTTTCACAGCCGCCGCTGACTGAGAGGGTTAATAGGCTTTTACTTACGGAGACATGAGTGCTGGAGCAGCGGGTCCGTCTCTGCCGATTAAACTGAGTTTTGTGTTGAAGTCCAGCTCAGCTCAGCCTGTGAAGCTCCACATGAACTCACTTCCTCCTCCAGCGGACAGTGACGTGGCAGAGCTGCATCGCGGCGCGGGGCGGGGCGGGGGTGCTGACGTCACCCGGCAGAACGAATGAAGGAGAATTTAGGATTTTGTTTGATCTGTCCTGCGGGGCCGGTTTGTTTCTTAGTTATAATAAAAACGTTTTATTTATTTATTTATTTATTTATTTATTTATGTATTTATTTAACTAGGAACATCAAATGCGTGCTCAAGTTAAATTTACTATATTATTTATATATATATATATATATAAATGACACATTTTTGTTGATGTTCTTTTAGATTTACATTACATCTATTATATTTTAATACACAATTACTGTTTATTTTCTGAATTTAACATATTAGAGAAAAATAAAACAAAACGTGGCAGGTATAAAGGTTATGGCACATTTAATGTGTTTTTTTTTCTTCAAAAGATTAATTTAAGCAAATGAATAGAAGTTGTGTTGAAATTGTAAGATATGTCATTTAACCGGGGTATCCAAACTTTTGTGTGTATATCTACGTAGTATACAGTAATAATAACAACAACAACAACATTTATTTGTATAGTGCTTTTTACAACTAGTCTCAAACAGCTTTACAGAAGAGCAGTTTATAGAAGGAAAACAGTTCAATAATAATAATAACAACAACAATAATTATAATATAATAATAATGATAATAACAACAACAACAACAACAATAATAATAATAATAATAATAATATTGTCATACATAATGATGATGAATATTCATTTATGAATTTATTTATTTGTTTGTTGATTCATTGATTGAATGAGCCATCGTTGCCAACATGTAAATATCTGCTGTGCCCTGTTTCTCTCTGGATCAGCATAAATCTACAGCCTCCAATAAATGGACTCCAAACTTAAAGACACAGGAACTCCAACACATTACACCCTCAGATAGATAGATAGATAGACAGATAGACAGACAGATAGATAGACGCACAGACAGACAGACAGACAGATAGATAGACAGATAGATAGACAGATAGACAGATAGATAGACAGACCGACAGATAGACAGACAGATAGACAGACAGACAGATAGACAGACAGACAGATGGACAGACAGATAGATAGACGCACAGACAGACAGATAGATAGATAGATAGATAGATAGATAGATAGATAGATAGATAGACAGACAGACAGATAGACAGACAGATAGATAGACAGACAGACAGACAGATAGATAGACAGATAGACAGACAGATAGATAGACAGACAGACAGATAGACACACAGATAGACAGACAGATAGATAGATTGTTGAACACATCCTTTACAGAGATATTTATAGATAGCTAGATTCCTCATGTTTCATTTTTCGAGGTCACTATTCAAATGTAATCAATTTTGTGAGCATGTTAAGGCCTTTGCATAAAAACATCAGATTAAAAATAAAAGGAGGGGGGGCATTAAAACAAATGGGGCCACACCACCAAAAGAAAACTGTGAAAATTCATGTAAACATTTAAAAGATTCTACTTTTCACTCAAATTGTTATAGTGATAATATAATTCGTCATAGAACTAGAAAAGAATGCAGAACAGAAGCAATTTGATTAGAGCTCTCAGACGTTTGGGCTCCGCTGTATATTAAAAGCTTTAAAATATTTGATTCAACAAGTCCTCAAAAGTCATCATGACTTCCATTGAATAATGAGCTCCATGTAAGCGAAGTCAGCTGTCTGATCAATAGAGCTGCACTGGAGGAGGAACCTGGCTGTGGACCAGCTCTGTTGCTGTGATGTGTGTATATATAGGTCATGCTGTGTAAGACGCGCTCAGTTACTGGAATTCTCTTCTGTGCTATTGATTTGTGTTGGGCATCTAAACATGAAGATTACTAAAAGCTCCTTCTAATGATTTTGAGCGTTTATGATATGTTTGGTCCAGCTGGCAGAAGGTCAATGAGTAAAGAGAGGAGAGGAAATAAGAAATGGTAAAGCCGTCACTGAGGTCATGCAGGTCAGTCTAATGTATATTGACAGCATCAGCTCTGCAAAGATAAGGTGGGGGGAGAACGGGGCAGGTGTAGGGGGTTTTTGCGAAATAATTGTAAGAATATTTAAGTTGGAATAATTGTATTTTTATACAAGCAACATATACATCTCTGCTACAAACCAACACGAAATTTGTTTCTAGCTCCTACCGTTCATGTACAATTCCACCCAAAATGACAGGAAGTGCAGTGGTACAGTTTAGCTAATGGGTGGGTTCACTGTGACAGACAGAGGGTCAGTTTAACACCTGCTAGAAAAGCCTGACGAACTAGTGCAAAGTTAATTCAACACACACGGATCAGCCATAACATTCTGACCACCTCCTTGTTTCTACGCTCATTGTCCATTTTATCAGCTCCACTTACTATATAGGTGCACTTTGTAGTTCTACAGTTACAGACTGTAGTCCATCTGTTTCTCTGCATACTTTGTTAGCCCCCTTTTACCCTGTTCTTCAGTGGTCAGGACCCCCATGGACCCTCACAGAGCAGGTACTATTTGGGTGGTGGATCAGACACAGCAGTGCTGCTGGAGTTTTTAAACACCTCAGTGTCACTGCTGGACTGAGAATAGTCCACCAACCAAAAATATCCAGCCAACAGCGTCCTGTGGGCAGCGTCCTGTGACCACTGATGAAGGACTAGAGGATGACCAACACAAACTGTGCAGTAGCAGATGAGCTATCGTCTCTGACTTTACATCTACAAGGTGGACTGACAAGTAAGGAGTGTCTAATGGAGTGGACAGTGAGTGGACACAGTGTTTAAAAACTCCAGCAGCACTGCTGTGTCTGATCCACTCAGACCAGCGCAACACACACTAACACACCACTGAGCTGAGAATGATCCACCACCCAAATGGTACCTGCTCTGTAAGGGTCCATGGGGGTCCTGACCACTGAAGAACAGGGTAAAAGGGGGCTAACAAAGTATGCAGAGAAACAGATGGACTACAGTCTGTAACTGTAGAACTACAAAGTGCACCTATATAGTAAGTGGAGCTGATAAAATGGACAATGAGCGTAGAAACAAGGAGGTGGTCAGAATGTTGTGCCTGATTGGTGTATATCCTCTTAAAACCAAAGAGTCATTCACTTTCTGCCTCTACTTTCTCACTCTTCTAACTATAATTTACATTTTTTATAGAAGTTATTGAATATTTTATAGGAATTCCTGAAAAAATATATTTACAGCAGTCTGGCTGACGCTCTTATCCAGAGCGACTTACAATTTGATTATTTTACACAGGTAGGCGAAGGAAGTGTTGGGAGTCTTGCCCAAGGACTCTTATTGGTATAGTGTAGGATGCTTACTCAGGCGGGGGATTGAACCCCAGTCTACGGCATAGAAGGCAGTGATCTTACCCAGTACACTAGACCAAATAGGTTTTTGTTACTCTTTTTAAAATTCAAATTTAATATTATCATGATTTTAAGCTTAATGACAGTAATAGGACTCAGGGTTCAAAGGGATATTTATTCACTTTTAATAAATCAGGTAAAATGTTGATGGATTTGTTCTCTCCTGACTATTTTCAAATGATACTTTTACTTCTACTCATGTATATTAATGAGTAAAGGAATCTTCTGTTTCCTCAGATCCATTTTAGTCATTAACATTGAGTCCTATTGTTGATGACTCCTCTCACTTTGGAGCTTTATCACTTCATTTTAGACCAAAACAAGAGCCTCTTCAGTTCTTATACTGATTGATGTTGAATAGACCCAGTTTCACTGCAGTTCTATCAGTGACTCAGTACTTAAGTATCTGCTATTCTTGTACATCTACTCAGGTTACTTTATGGAAGGATACTTTTACCTACTTAGGTCATTATTTCATTCACTTAATTAACATTACTTGTGCTGAAGTGTGAGTTTAGGCTACCATACATTCAGGTAAAGGCCTTGTGGCAATAACAGATAAGCCATAACAGATCCTCAGCTACTGATGAATGAAACGGTCGCGGGCAGCTTTAATGTGTCCACTGGCAGCGGAAATGTAAAGTGAGGCAGAGAGGCAGCAGGTATTAAATGAAGCTTGCGGGAAACAGGCTGGCTCAGAGCACAGTAAAAAAAAAAAAAAGCTTCAGAAAGATGATCTAGTCGTTCACATGACTCCAGCATGGATCGCTGCATTGAGTGGATGATACAAATCGAGGCTGTGCGGTGCGTCTGTTCCTAATGGCCAGACACTGAAACTGAATCTATATGTCTATAATATCATATCCATAGTTTTCTGTGGCTGTTTGGAGCTTTATTTGAACCAGGCTAAAGCCTTATAAGCTGTCCACTGTCAGCAAAATAGTATGGGCAGCTGCTCAGTAATTTCCTGTAAAAATGACCATTAAGTACATTTATTCATTTTTTTGCATAAAGAAAAAAGCTGAAAACATATGAATCACATAATATAATAATCCTGAACAACTACATCTACTATAATTTTTTCAGTATTTAGTGTGTCCACTCTTTATCTATATTCCAGCTTCCATTCTTTTCAGGAGACTCACTTTCAGTTCCTCAAAGAATCTGCAGACACACCTCCAAAGTTCAGTCTTAGAAGCTGGTTGATCATTTTCTGAAGTAATCAAACACATTCAGTGGTGTTGAGGTCTGGACTCTGGGGTGGTCAGTCCATTGTTCAGCTTCTTTGTTTGATGTGTCCGTCTCCTTTTCTCAGTGAGGTTCTTCTTGACAGCTACACATCCTTTCAGACCCACAGCGCTGAGTCGTCTTCTCACAGTGGAAGGATGGACAGAAACACCTGTGGATGTTTTCAGATCTGAAGCAGCTTGATTTTCTCCTCTCTCTCAGAGATGAGAGCTTTAAGTGCTGTTTATCTGATGGGGGTAGTTTTGGGGTCTACCAGCTCTTCCAGGTGGTTGTTAGGAGCCCAATTTTCTCTGCAGCATTTATTCAGTTTTGAACTCCAGTTTTGGAAACTCTTGTTTCGTTTCACTTTGATTTTTTCTTTCATTTTGCA